TTAGAATAACTCGTTTTTTTCTAATGGATTCTGGATAGTTTGGGCTACAAAATATTCAATTTTCAACAGGATTGAGCCAGAAACAGTAAATTTCGGATTTTTACAAATTTGAAAATTTTCATGATGCCTACTACTCCTAAATAGCTTCTACATGAATCTTTTTTGATTTTCCAAAATTGATGTCACTCAGAATAACCCGTTTTTTCTTAATGGATTTTGCATAGTTTGGGCTACAAAATATCCAATTTTCAACAGGATTGAGCCAGAAACAGTAAATTTGGGATTTTTACAAGTTTGAGAATTTTCATGATGCCTACTACTCCTAGATAGCTTCTACATGAATCTTTTTTGATTTTCCAAAATCGCTGTCACTTAGAATAACTCGTTTTTTCTTAATGGATTTTGGATAGTTTGGGCTACAAAATTTCCAATTTTCAACAGGATTGAGCCAGAAACAGTAAATTTGGGATTTTAACAAATTTGAGAATTTTCATGATGCCTACTACTCCTAGATAGCTTCTACATGAATCTTTTTTGATTTTCTAAAATTACTGTCACAATTTGGGATTTTTACAAATTTGAGAATTTTCATGATGCCTACCTACTACTCCTAGATAGCTTCTACATGAATCTTTTTTGATTTTCCAAAATTGCTGTCCCTTAGAATAACTCGTTTTTTCTTAATGGATTTTGGATAGTTTGGGCTACAAAATTTCCAATTTTCAACAGGATTGAGCCAGAAACAGTAAATTTGGGATTTTTACAAATTTGAGAATTTTCAGGATGCCTACTACTCCTAGATAGCTTCTACATGAATCTTTTTTGATTTTCCAAAATCGCTGTCACTTAGAATAACTCGTTTTTTCTTGATGGATTTTGGATAGTTTGGGCTACAAAATATCCAATTTTCAACAGGTTGGAGCTAGAAACAGTAAATTTGGGATTTTTACAAATTTGAGAATTTTCATGATGCCTTTTACTCCTAGAAAGCTTCTACATGAATCTTTTTTGATTTTCCAAAATTGCTGTCACTCAGAATAACTCGTTTTTTCTCAATGGATTCTGGATAGTTTGGGTTAAAAAATACCTAATTTTCAAGAGCATTGAGCCAGAAACAGTAGGAATATTTAGGATTTTTACAAATTTAAGAATTTTCATGATGTCTTTCACTCCTAGAGAGCTTCTGCATGAATCTTTTTTGATTTACCAAAATTGCTGTCAGACGAAATAAATCGTTTTTTCTTAATGGATTCTGGATATTTTGGGCAGTTTTATGCTTCATTTGCTCAATTTTGGTTCTGGTAGAGCCAGGAATGTTTATCGATTTTAAGCTCTTGAATCTTAGAGTATAGAATGGTTAAAATTGAACTTTTTAAAGCACTGACTCCACTTAACCTTCAGAATTGGAATTTATTTTCCTAGTTTAACTTCAGCTCCATACCTAGTTGACCCAGAAATCGAAATCTCATGCATTTTTTAGCTCTAGTAGAGTCGTTTCTGGAATTTAAATGCCCCTTTAATTGAATTTCAGTTGTTCTAGAGTCAAACATGATCTTTTTGAGCCACCCTAGAATGATCAGAAATAAGATTTTTTTCTCGTTTCAGAGCTGAATAATAGAATGCCTTTTTGTAGTTAGCCCTACCTTTGGCTTGAGTTGAATCTTAGTTGTTCTAGAGTTCAGAAATAAGAATTTCTTTCGTTTCCAGAGCTGGAAAATAGGATTTTCATGCTTATTTAATTCAAATTTCAGTTCGAGAAGAGCTGGTCATAAGATTTTGATGCCTTTCCTGATGATTTTTAGTTCTAGAAAAATCAAAATTGAGTGTCTCCAACTGCTCTGATTCAATTTTAACTCAATAATCATTGTCAGAGAATATAGTTTTATGCTACATTTGCTCAATTTTGGTTCTGGTAGAGCCAAAAATATGACGCTTATTGATTTTCAAACCTAGAATAATCAAAATTGAGTTTTTCAAAGTGCTCTAGCTCCACTGTATTTGCAGAATGATCAAAAATTGGAATTTATCTTCCTAATGACTACATTTTTGAAGTTGAGCCAGAAATTCGAATTTCATGCATTTTTACCCTATTATTTAGCTCTAGGAGAGTCATTTCTGGGATTTAAATGCATCTTTAGTTAAATTTCAGTTATTCTTAAGTCAAACTTGCTCTTTTTGACCCACACAGAATGTCTAAACTCAGAAGCAACATTAGAAAAATCTGACTCTGCTATAAATTTGAGAAAATTAATTGTAATTCTGGCTATTTATCTTATACAAGGAAATCGAAGAAGCTTGGGTTCGGTATCTTCAAATCTAACTTGAACTTCAGAATCTATAAATTCCTCAGATGATTTATCATATTTATAAATATTAATTTTCTCTTATGTATCACATAATTAACAGTTACACCTTATAAGAAAATTTACAAATGAATTTTTAAATATTTTTCCGGATTTCCCTTATAAGTGTTTTAAATCATAATATTATGCCCGAGCAAACATACATAAAGGCTCACTCCTTTTTAAATGGGAAATACTTAAAAGGCATTTTTATAAGTGCATATGCTTTCACTATTTCTTTGTTTATTACACTCCTTACCACCTACTGATGGTTATCTTTAATTATTTTCACTAATATGTCAGTATGTAGTAAGTTGAGTAATTGTTTAAATACTATAATCATAATAATGTAAAAATTAGAAAGAAGTAACATATACAGAGTCGCTTCAATAATAATTGAATCGTGATTTTTTTCATGTTAAACGCAATGTTTTTGCATATTATTGTTCCACTTACGATTTTAGATTAAAATTTTTATGGGCCATTTAAGTGAAATTGGTATTGTGTAATACACGTTATGCATGTGCATGTTTTTGATATTTTCATTTGAAGAAAAGTATCCAAGTATTAGATTTTTAGTGCAAAAATAATAACAAATGCTGTAAAACAAGATTTAATTTTCACATTTTGAGCTAGTTTTGGAAAACACAAACAAATTGATGCCTTATTGTATGTTTTATGAGATTTAATCTTAGATAAATGTTAACAGCAGGTTATAGCTGTAAGCCTTGTCTTTAGATTTTGCAATTTGCAAATCTAACTTCGGGCCAAAACCTTGAAATTGCTCGCTTCGTACATGCACGTAAGATAATAATAATTGGCAATAGTTATGACAACATGAACGAAAATACATTTTTAATTGTTTGTTGTTTTTTTCCAAAGCAAATAATTGGTTACGATATTGTAATATTTTTTAGAACCCATTAAAAATTCACTCAATAAAAGATTATAGTTATTATTGTAAAGAATATTGTTTCAGGAGAAATTAATTAAATTACCATTATACTTCTATGACAGTTTTTGTAAAAGATTTCTACTTTTTACAAAATCTATCTTAGCAGCAAAATAGTAAATACAATTTTTATGTCTTGGATCAGTGGATTATTCTATATTTCAGAATCTAGAGATAGAATATCTAGAGTTTTTGATCTTGAGTTAGGATCCTTGAGATCCTTAAGAACGTTTTGATTCTTCCATAAACAATAAATAAGAATTTGAAATTTATTGAGGTTTTTTAAATTAGGAAACGTTATTTCAGGGTTTTGTAGGGTTTTTGTGTTTCCTTAGCTAGACAAAATTGTATATTTGTTTCAACAGTTTCGCACCCTGAGAAACTTTAAAATTGAATTTATCAAACATTGAAGCATATACCAACCCTGTCCAAATATTTATTTTTCCCAATAAAATTATTTAAGCTACAGATATGCCTGATGAAAATTTGATCAATAGAAGCCTCATAGTTAATCCTTAGGTATTTTCGGCTTTAATCCCCTATACATTTTTGCCAAATCCTTATAAATTTATCCAGTGAACGATTTGATGATGTTTGGTAATCTATTGATGGATTAAGTTTATAATAGCAATAATGTTTGTACCTAATACAGTGAATCCTGGATTTTCTTGATAAGATTATTATTATTATCATTATTATTTTTTTTTTGTATAACAATATACCAGACTCAAATTATTCATTGTTTGTTAACCAACTTTTCAAGTTTAAACTAATTATTGTTATTAAACAATGCCAAATAGAATGTGTTCCACTCGATTTCGTTCTCATGATATACTTTACTTTTTCGCCCGTTAACACGACCACACAATAAATTGCCGGTTGGTTTTTCAGTTTGAATTTCTTTAATGAAACGGTTCTGCAACCAGATGATAAATATTTATCGAAACAAAAGTAGGTTGGACGGGATATGACACTTTCCATCATCAACTGGCGGTTTAAAAATGCAAATCTACTCCAAATTGTATCTTTGTATTAATTTCTTAGATAACTTCAACCAAAACGGATGCTGATTCAAATACTTAAGAGAGATGGCAAATTATCAAGAATTGACTCTAAAATCATTTACTCTGAGAATATTTGCAAACATTGAGGAATTTTTACTAAAATGAAGTACATACCTCTTGTGAGTCTTTTTAAAATATTTTATATTTCAATAATTATGTAATAATTTTATTAAACTAAGAAGGATATGTCTGGACTAAAGAAAAATAGGAAAAATTGGATTTTATATTAGAAAAGTTACAAAAATCGATAATTGCCCATAATAAATCAAGCCCAAAAGCAATAAAGTCAACTTTACTAATAAATCATAAGTACAATTTCCTCTATATTTAGAGAAATCTAACGCGAAAGCGTTTCGATCGAAAACATAATTTGTGTGCAAGTAACATTATCATTATTACATAGTATTTCGTAGTCTTAATATAATAAGAACTATAATAAATTATTATCCGGTACAGTTTTAATTGCTTCACGTTTGAAATGAATAAATATAAGAATTCACAATTTTAACTGTTTTTGTTACAACATAATAATGCAATTGATACCTGTTAATTAACAGTAGTTTGTTATTCATATTTTATCACCTTTGAAAATCGACATATTTTGTCTTTGACTTGTAAATCATGTTATTGTTTTATTTGCAGATAAAATTGGAAAAAGTACTAGGAGTCACAGTTCCTAGTAATGCTGCTCTTGGAACTGACAATAATGGCATTATTGCCTATCCTGCTGGGTAAGTGTCCAAAATTTATTACGACTCAAATCTAGTAATTAAACTTGTTCCAAATTAATATCAGAAGAACCTTCTTTGCTCTGTTTCTACACTTTTCAAAAATAATTAATCCATGAATACAGTACAACACTCAATTGATTAATTGAGTTAAATTGTTGAAAATAATACCCTGTCTTAATGATGAAACTATAATAGTTCAATTTGAATTGTTTTTTTGATGGAAATATAATTGAGAAATCATTAACAATAACGAATTTGATCTAGGCCATGTAACATCTGATAATGGCAATTCGTATTTTACATCACATATACCAAGCTTCCTCTCACCAACTTTTGTTTCATTGTATACAAGCAATTTTCTACATAATACTGACTGGAAAAATGTTTCCAGAATCGTCATGGTATTTTACTTTATCTTAAGTAAGTTTTAACAAGGAAAATCGTGCTTACTAACGACCAAAAATACAAAATATTACCCAGCTGTCCGTGCTCGTTCTACATAGAAATAAATCAATAATAATCACAGCTAATAGCCAATTTATTATAATGAAAATCCTTGAACGACCTTTGCGGGCAAAAAAAATTACGTCTATTAACTGCAGGATGTTCCAATTCCTATAAGACATCTTCCGAGGTCGAATATCTTTTTTTTGCTTCACATAATAATGTTTTTCCTGGGAAATATTTACAATAATTCCAATGTACTCTGATATGATCCAATTTCTCTCTTCGTATCAAAAAAGAGTTTATTTTCGGAAAAGAATGGATCGATGGCTTTTGTGGCAGTTAATAATAGGAAGTACGTGACGGAGTTGGCCATAGAAAATGATTTGAAAGCACTTTTATCAAGTTAATATTGCAGATAACTCAACCTAGATTCAGAGGAAAAAGGCGAAGAGATATAAAACTTTTATTCTTATTAAAGAAAGCTTAAAAGGAAATTCTAATTTGTATACTTATTTTGGAAAAAAGTTGTGAAAATGTCTACTAAGTATATTTTAATAATTGTTAAGATAAAGTATTATAGAAACTGTAGAGGGAACTATACAATCAATCCCAAGACCCACAAGATGAATTTCAAAAATCAACAAGAACTATGAAATAACTCACAAACTGTAAAGATCTGGAAAAAAAACAGATAACAAGTTTCCTGAGAAAGTTGCCACTCAAAATGGAAATGGAAAAAGACAAATTGAGCCAAAAATTATAGAATACAAAGTCCAAATTGAGACTAACAAAGATATGTAACCCACACCATCGTGTACTCAGAATTTCCCACGCATAGTGGTACCAAATTCACATTGCACCGAAATAGTGGGAATATTTTTAAATTAATTTCAATAATTTATTGTTTTGGCCATTGTTCGGTTTTGTCGGCCTGCCCACTTGTGCTTTTGATGACTCTATTAAAGGACAGCGTGATAATAGGAGTTGTTATTTTGTCATTATTGTTTCTATAAGTAAAATGACAATTCCTTAACTTTATATAAACAATTTCCATTACCTAATACTGTTCCATAATAACAGAAATCTTATTTCAAATTTAATTAATCCAATAAATCAAACAAAACTTGATATTAAACTATCAATCATACGGTAAATAAATGTTTCATATTTCAATATCGTCTGAATTCTAGCTCTCATCTGCCTCATAAAATTTGCAATTTCGGCCCCAAGGGCAAACTATTAATGCATCCTAGATGAGCCGGAAAGCAGGTTATCCTCCGACTTGCTAAATTGGAAATTCACCTAGCTGGAAAATGTATACAGGAAATTTCCTAGGAAAATGAAAAAGTCGTTTCGAATATTAGTTTTCCGCATATTGGGAATTGGAATTTCGAATTGTTGATGCTATGAAGCAGGGGAATTGATATAGGGCGAAATATTGAGAAATCAATACAATAATACGAATAATTCTAAAAAAAGAGCAATGATAGAGATGCAAAAAGGAGCAAGATAATCAATCAGTTCTGTTGTGTCCTTGTTCAAAAGTGTGATCCTGACAATATTGAAAATTTACCAACTGAAATGCTGTAAGAAGGAAAAGAAGATATCCTATTGACACTGAAAGAAACGAAATACAAAGGAATGGCCTCTCTTCAAAAAAATATTATAGATCTGACATCAGAATCTTGGACAAATTGTGTTGAAAGATGGATGATAACAAAGAGAAAAAAATGGAATCAATATTGTCTTCCATCTACTTCAATGTCTCGTTAATTTCTCCTATTGCTCTATCGATTTTCAAAACATTTTCTTTGTAAGATATGGAAAATTATTTAGCTACTCTTCCATTGGTAATCTGTTTTGAAATAAAGTATGATGATAGGCAGTAGGAATCTTGAGTTTTCAATCTTATAAAAGTCATGAAGGAATGGGTTCATATCTGGTGGGCCTAATTTTATCGAGTTTTTCCAAATGCAAGTTTGTAAGTGAACTCGTTAAGGGTTTTCTTCAAACGCTGAATTTGTTGGTGGTAGCGAGCACAGTTTAGGTAATTGGGATGTGGCACTTTCAATTTTGTCTGCCCACAGTTTTACACGAGCCTCCTCTGAAGTCTACCTATATTTGCCACGTAACATGCAGCCATAAATGTATGTGCTTACCGTTTCGTATTAGACAGATCAGCGTGTAGATCTCCAAACAATGACAAGTATTGTTGCTTTTTTAAAACATTATTGGATTTTATCTTACCAATGCCATAACACATGGCAGTGGTATCACAACTAGTAATAGCTGGAAGCGCTAGCACTTCACATATTATATTCTCGTGACGCTCCAATGTCAATTCTTGTACGACCCTGGATCACCATTGAAATTGTTGCAGGTATTTTCTTAAGATTGTAAAAGTACTCAAGGAGCAAAAAACCATCTGTATCATCTGATATGACGATAATCTTCTTGCAGCTTGAAAAACTTGCTGTACAAGAATCGTGTCTTCGTGGGTATTTCTTAGGTTATGCCTTCGTCTCACCTCGTCACGATAAATGTCGTAGGATGCTTCTTCTGGGCTTGACGAAATTAGCCTGTATTTGCTTGTCTGGTTTTTGTTAAACGATTCGTCGCCAATAATGCTACTGCAAATGAGTAATCAATTGCTTCTCATTTTCATTCCAGCTCAAAATTTCTTTCTTTGACGGAAAGAGGTGTTGAATATGTGAGTACGCGAATTCTGGTTACTCCTGTAGATTTACTTGGCCTTGTGCAGTCTTTAGTACTGTACTCATTGTACCCATCGAAAACAAGGTTTATATTTCCATGCTGTAAATGTATGCTTATAGATGCTTTTACTACCATTATGAAGTCATCTGCAGTCTCCTTTTCTGGCTAGGAGTGCAGACCCATCAATAACGATAACGTATTCTTCAACATAATTATTTCTTACTGAGCAAGAAACCTAGAGGTCTCTCTTTAAGCTCGATTTGGATTTGCATATCCTCATATCTCCAGAATCCGTAAACATTGACGTAGGTATGGTGAAAGTTCATGGAAGAGAACTTTACTGGCCCATATCAATGTATAGAAATCATGAAAATATTCAGTTGCTGAAACTTTTACTGAATTTTATCCCAATCAAGGGACTACAATCACTGAAAATTTCAGCTAATTTGCACTTATAGTTCCTGAGATAAAATCGCGTTAAGCAATTTGGGGTGATTTATCAATTTTTCTGAGTGCCTTTTTTCATAGATTTCGAATTCAAATTTGAGAATAATTTAGTGTATGGAGTTTGGGGAATGATGATTAAGACTATTAGGATACAAAATCTTGACAAAAAAAAATTTGAAATTTCATCGTTTTAGTAAGAAGGTACCTTATGATTTAGATTTTGGAAAACTTTGAAAGGTCATAACTGTTTTTCTATAATAGATAGAAAGCTGAAACTTTCACTGAATTTTATCCCTATCACCGGACTACAATCCCTGAAAATTTCAGCTCATGTGCACTTATAGCTCCTGAGATAAAATCGTGTTAAGCAATTTGGGGTGATTTATCAATTTTCCAATTTGTCTGAGTGCCTTTTTTCATAGATTTCGGTTTCAAATCTGAGAATAATTTAGTGTATGGAGTTTGGGGGATGTTGATTGACCATTAGGATAAAAAATCTCGACAAAAAAAAAATTGAAATTTCATCGTCTTAGTAAGAAGGTACCTTATGATTTAGATTTTGGAAAACTTTGAAAGGTCATAATTTTTTTTCTATTATAGATGGAAAGCTGAAACTTTCACTGAATTTTATCCCAATCAAGGGACTACAATCCCTGAAAATTTCAGCTCCTTTGCACCTATAGTTCCTGAGATAAAATCGTGTTAAGCAATTTACGGTGATTTATCAATTTTTCAATTTTTCTGAGTGCTTTTTTCATAGATTTCGGCTTCAAATCTGAGAATAATTTAGTGTATGGAGTTTAGGGTATGTTGATTGACCATTAGGATACAAAATCTCGACGAAAAAAAAAATTGAAATTTCATCATTTTAGTAAGAAGGTAAAATACCTACCTTATGATTTAGATTTTGGAAAACTTTGAAAGGTCATAACTTTTTTTCTATTCCTAGATAGAAAGCTGAAACTTTCACTGAATTTTATCGCAATTAAGGGACTACAATCCCTGAAAATTTCAGCTCATTTGCACTTATAGTTCCCGAGATAAAATCGTGTTAAGCAATTTGGGGTGATTTATCGATTTTTCAATTTTTCTGAGTGCCTTTTTTCATAGATTTTGGCTTCAAATCTGAGAATAATTTAGTGTATGGAGTTTGGGGGATGTTGATTGACCATAAGGATACAAAATCTTGATAAAAAAAAAATCGAAATTTCATCGTTTTAGTAAGAAGGTACCTACTTTATGATTTAGATTTTGGAATACTTTGAAAGGTGATTACTTCTTTTCTATTATAGATAGAAAGCTGAATCTTTCACTGAATTTTATCCCAATCAAGCGACTACAATCCCTGATAATTTCAGTTCATGTGCACTTATAGTTCCTGGAGTTTTTATCACCGTATTGTATGCTGTACATGTTATAATAACTAGTCTTTATTCGCTGAGCACCCGCGGCCGAAAGGGGTTCTTGGGTCCACTTACTGGCGCAGCCAGGAGAGGGGCCAGAAGGCTTGCCCCCCTCCCAATGCTTCAGAGAAAAATAGAAACATAATGCTATAGAAAAGCTGTAAACTGCTCATATCATGAAAAGCAGGGGTTGTTGACGTTGTTGTAAACCAAAAATACGTTTTAGGTTTATTGTGTAAAAAAAAATCTAAGAACAACATCGAAATTTTCGCCTCTCTACCGAATTTCTATCAAAAGATATCATATCAGTCTTTAGAGTTTGCAACAAAACGTAGACGTGACGTCACAACCGCTTGAAGCTCCACAGATTCTGCTATTGTGTACTTTGGTTCGAAACCAAAACTCATGTTTCACCTATTTAAGTCAATCCGTATTTAAGTGAGAGTTGCAGGATTTTATTAGAGTCTGAGCATTAAGGGTCTGAGTACTCTAAGTCTACGGTATTCGAGTGGTTGTGACGTCACGATTCCACGGTTGTTTTGCGAATATCTCGAAATCCGTCAGGCATAAAATGGTACGGCTTGAAATATTCGAGGAAATATTATTCTCAGAATTTTCCATACAGAAATTTTGATTTTTGATTTAAAGTATAGTGAGTCTGTGTATATTCCCCCCCCCCCCCCCCCCCAGAGCAAATGTCTGGCTGCGCCACTGCGTCCACTACACTTGAATTTCCATTCAAAAAAACACTTTTCTTTTCTTATTGTGGTCGCATTGAATTCTAAAATAATGAATAAACAATATATACCTACTTCAAATAAAAGATACTTTCAGACTTTCATCATCATTGATTTTCTTGCAGTCCAATATGTCCTTTAACTAATTCAGAAATCACAGCTAAAAACTATTCAAGCTGCATTGAAATTATTTGCAAACAGTTTGTAAGAATTTTGAAGGAATTCGCAGGAAATTCCCGACAAGTTTGAGGAATTGTTTGCACGAATTCGAGGGATGGTTTACCTCTCGTCAATAATACTACAATATAGACTGCAGCTAATTATTAAAATTTCCTTTTAAAAAACAACCTTCTACATTTTAAAAATTTAAAACAATTATTCTGTTATCTGCGATTTACAGGAAAACCAATTATTATTGTTAGTTAGTCAATAAATAATTCATTGTAAGCGATTTTTATTTTCGAAGATAAGACTAATATGGTAACCTTAGTCATAAATTAATTGTTTGAATATAAGAAAGGTTATATGAAGGCGATTTATATATTAACGGCTTGGACAAGGCACTAGTAATTGATTACCTTTTAATTTACTGTTGTTATATTATTTATGGATTGATAATAAGAATTATCAATCACAAATCAGTGTTAAGTATAATAGAATATAAAACTATTTCAGTGCCAGGAAATTCCTTATTTGCTCAATTTGTGTTCTTATGGAAAAGGCAACATTTTGCTTGAAATGCCACTTGGCAAGCACCCAAAGTTCATGTTTGATTAAACGACTTAAATGGCCTTAATTCAGTAAACTAGGTGTAAAAATATATGGTTTTCTTTATAGACCATTGTGTGTTGTTTTTGAAGTTGTTTGATCAATTTAGATGGGCTTTCTGGAACAATAAACTTCATTCAATTAAAAATTTGTTTAAAATATAACAAATTCTTTGTAATTTGTTGTTCGTTTTTGGATTCGTAACGCTTAGTTGAACGAAATAATGCACACGCTATTATAAAGAAATCGTTTAAAATTCCACATACCTCTTGTCTTGCTCGGTTAAATATTTTTGCAAACAGTTATTTAGGAATTCAGTGGTTTCTGCAAATAAATCAGGGGGACAAAATTTACCGAATCTAAAACCGAAATCATATCAGTGGGTCAGAGAACTTTCTAATTTTTTAAGAGGAGACAAGATCGATTTGTCATTGGCAATTTCAGAAAAATGTTAAGATGTTGAATCAGCACGTATTTAGAAAAGTAGTTGGCAATACCCCAGAATCCTTCTTTATCCCGGCTTGACATAAAACGACCTTAATAGGGCTACTTGGCTAAAAGTTATGGGCTCATTTTTATTTGCCAAACACAAACCAGACATAGCAAGAAAGATATTATCTTTATTTTTATGGATCGGAATAGGGTTTTATTTATTTGAAACAAACAAATCAAAAATAATGTTTGTTTCAGATGCACAGTGGTGCTGTTCAATACAAAAACGGAACAACAAAATCATATAATCAATAGCAGCCGGAAAACTGTAACATCGCTTGCGTATTCGTCTTGTGGAAGGTATATTGTTACAGGTAATTATTATTGAAATCAAATTCTGTATCATTTTACAATAAATCTTTTTCTAGGTGAATCCGGTCATCAGCCAGCAGTACGAGTATGGGACCTACAATCGGACCCACAATCAGTCCAACCGGGACTTGCCCCACAACCACAACAAGTAGCCGAATTTGTGGGGCACAAATACGGAGTCAATTGTGTGGTAAGTCCATAATATTTTCCCTAAAACTTGTTTCTCATTATTGAATTATTTTTAGGCGTTTTCACCAACAAACAAATACGTAGTCAGCGTAGGTACCCAACATGACATGATAGTCAATCTATGGGACTGGAAAAGTAATATAAAAGTAAGCAATTTACATTATTTGATATTGCTTGTATACATTATTATAATAATTCTAGGTTGCTAGTAATAAAGTGAGTACCAAAGTAAAAGCGATAGCGTTTTCGGAAAACGGCAACTATTTCGTTACTGTTGGTAATAGACATGTCAAATTTTGGTTTTTGGAAACAGGAAAAAATAAGGTACCAATTTTACTTATAATTATGTTAAATTGATTTTTTGATAATGTGGTGTTGTAGTACAAAGAAGCGGTACCCTTGATGGGCAGGTCGGCCATTCTAGGCGAACAAAGAAACAATTATTTCTGTGATGTAGCGTGTGGCAAAGGAGAATGTGGAGATAGTACGTATGCGATAACTAGGTAAGAACTTATAGACTATCAATGGAAATTGATAATTATAGAATAATCATACTCTTTTCAGGTCAGGATTGCTGTGTGAATTTAATAATAGAAGACTATTAGATAAGTGGGTAGAATTAAGGGTAAGTATTTAAAACTATTCTGTTTGCTTAATGTTATAAATCTTGTTTTTTTTTTAGACAACCAGTGCCAATTGTATAACGGTAGGACAAAAACATATATTTGTAGGATGCGCAGAAGGAATTGTTCGGTGCTTTGACCCAACTACCCTCAGATTTATCACCACATTGCCTCGATGTCATTATTTAGGAGTTGATGTAGCACTTGGTACAAATATACAGTAAGTAATTTCAAGTATTTTCTTGTTTACATACTACAAAATTTCATTTAGGCATATGGCATCTCCACCTCCAGACGCCAAATACCCGGATACTGTAGCAATCACCTTTGACGAAACTAACAATAAACTAACGGCAGTCTATAATGACCATTCGATTTATATTTGGGATGTTTTCAACATAAGAAGAGTGGGAAAATCTTGTTCGTTTCTCTATCATTCCGCGTGCATTTGGGGTGTTGAAATGCCTCCACCCAATTGCCCTCTACCTCCTGGAAGTTTCCTTACTTGTAGTTCAGATGATACCATACGAATGTGGACATTGGATAAGCTTAATGAAAAAAGTAAAGGGAATTACCAGCAAAATATTTATAGTAATGTAAGTGTAAGATTTCAACTAAGCACAATTTTATTTTGGTTGTTTTCTTAGGAGCTTCTTAAAATTGTCTACGTAGACAGGGATCTATCATATATTAAAGACTTGGATATATCAGGAACAGTTAGCAATGAAAAACAAACAGATCAGACATCATATGATGGTAAAAATGGAGTTAGATGTTTGAGGATTAGTCCCGATGGTAAACATTTGGCTAGCGGTGATAGATCTGGTGAGTACATAAATAATTACATTAAAACCACTTTGAAAAATATGTACAGGGTGTCCAAGATTCGATGGTTTTAGCGGGTTTCGGATACCACTTGCGAGCCTCGATTTTCAAGAGAAGTTGACCGGTGAAACCCGCATCTCGACAAATCGAGATGAGATTTTCACCAGTCAATTTCTCTTGAAAATCGTGGCTCGCAAGTGGGGGTCAGATTTTTTCCAACTGTTTTATGCCCGTATTACATCTGTGTATTTTTTTGTGTATTTATTCATGTAGTTCAGGATGCCAACATTATTTTATTTTTCATAATGCTGATTTTTGTTGCGTTTGAAATTTTTCGGTTGTCACCCTGACCTACATGAATAAATACACAGAAAAATACACAGATGTAATACGGGCATTAGAAATATCCTAAACCCCCTAAAACCATCGAATCTTGGACACCCTGTACACCAGAATCCCACTTTTAACGTAATCCGGCGAAATCCTAGTGGAATTCTACGGAATCCTACCGAAATTCCATGCAATCCTACTAGAATCCTACGGAATCCTACTGGAATTCCACTGAAAATAAATTAAATTTTGGACTTCTTATGTTAATGCAGGTGAAAATGATTGAAATCTGCATAAATTACTTGTGCAAAGTACTTCTTCTAATCACAGTATCCTGAAACTTCCAGGAGTTATGAATTGAAGTTCCCTCTTTGTGGAAAAGTGAATTTGAAGTTGATTTGAAGCTCTTAAACTAATTTTGGAAGCTTTTTCTCACGTTAATGCATGTAAAAATGATTAAAATCTGCAAAAATCACTTCTAATGATCACAGTGATTTGAAACTTTCAGCAAAGTCTTTAAAAATGACTGAATTATTGAACTAATGAGTAAATTTCATCAGTAAATTGCTGCGGAACTCGCTCCGCTCGTCCCGCAGAGGTTTGTGAGTAATTCACTCGTGGATAAGAAAAATTCTGACCTGAAAATGAATTAAATTTTGAACTGATGAGAGTAGGTAGTCTACGAGGGTTTTAGGCTAAGAAAGAGACGAAACACCTACCATTCAAGATACAACCATCTTTTTACCGCGTTCTGTATGTATCTCCTACCGCGCCCGCGCTCACCAAAGTAGGTATAGGGTTACTTGAGCCTGGGAACTTTTTCGAAACAAAACTAGCTGAAACCAGCTGAACCAGCTCTAACCAGCACTGGACCAGCATAAAACCAGTGTATACCAGCTCGAAATCAGCTAAAAACAGCCATTTGACAAACTCCTCAGCTGCATCAACCCCAAAATAAGAGTCTATTACAGAACTCTCCCTACCTTTCAAGATACAACCATCCTTCTACCGCGACCTGTAGGTATCCTCCTACCGTGGCCGCGCTCACAAAAGTAGGTATAGGATTACTTGAGCCTGGGAACTTTTTTGAAACCAGCTTAAAACCAGCTGAAACCAGCACTGAACCACCACAAAACCAGTGAGTACCAGCTCGAAACTAGCTAAAAACAGCTATTTGACCAGATATTTGACAAACTCCTCAGCTGCATCAACCCCAAAATGAGAGTCTATCACAGAACTCCCCCTACCACTCAAGATACCACCATCCCCCTACCGCGTTCTGTATGTATTCCCCTATCGCGCCCACGATCACTAAAGTGGGTATAGGGTTACTTGAGCCTGGGAACTTTTTCGAAACCAGCTTAAAACCAGCTGAAACCAGCACTGAACCAGCACAAAATCAGTGAATACTAGCTCGAAACCAGCTAAAAATAGCTATTTGACCATATATTTATTATACTACGTATATCGCGGGTTGATTTGAGTTCTTGAAGCAAACATTATGAGATAGAACGATGCTTTCTTTGTCTCAAGTGAACTCGTTTTTCCAATGCGCATGCGTCAATTTGAAGTTATTCCTCCAATAAGATTTCATTTTAAACACCTGATATTGCAGGGTTGCCAATAACGTTATTTTCATCTTCGAGTTATTTAAACATTCACAAGAAACATGACGAATTTTGTAGTTTGGTGCGTGTAACACATACTCGATTTCGACAAATAAACCAATATATTCATTTTTATTAGTGTTTTGGAATCCAAATACAATCGACCAAATTATAACCTCAAAAAATGATCCTAATTTATTGTGCTTTTTAGCTTGACATGACAACACGGCACGAAAAGCTTGATGCAAAATGGCAACCGCCGGCCAATAGGAATCTAGAGTTTAACGCAAGCGCAGTTCATTACCTCGGTCTCCTTCGTTTGACAAAGATAGACTTATGCGAGATCATATAACTTTATCTCTTTTTGTTTGCTTCAAAAACCGCACATTGGGTAAATGGGGAAGGCGCGATATACGTTAGTATAATAGGTATATGCATTTGACAAACTCCTCAGCTGCATCAACCCCAAAATAAGAGTCTATTACAGAACTCCTCCTACCACTCAAGATACAGCCATTCCCCTACCGCGCTCTGTATGTATTCCCCTAACGCGCCAGCACTCACCAAAGTAGGTATCGGTTTACTTGAGCCTGGGAACTTTTTCGAAACCATCTCAAAACCAGCTGAACCAGCTGAAACCAGCACTGAACCAGCACAAAATCAGTGAATACCAGCTCGATACCAGCTGAAAATAGCTATTTGACAAACTCCTCAGCTGCATCAACCCCAAAATAAGAGTCTATTACAGAAGTCCCCCTACCACTCAACCATTCCTCTACCGCGCTTTGTATGTATCCTCCTACTGCGCCCGCGCTCACCAAAGTAGATATAGGGTTACTTGAGCCTAGGAACTTTTTCGAAACCAGCTTAAAAACAACTAAAACCAGCTAAACCAGCACTGAACCAGCAAAAAACCAGTGAATACTAGCTCGAAATTAGCTAAAAACAGCTATTTGACAAACTCCTCAGCTGCATTAACCCCAAAATAAAAGTCTATTACAGAACTCCTCCTACTTTTCAAGATACAACCATCCCCCTACCGTGTCCTCTATGTATCTTCCTACCGCGCCCGCGCTCACCAAAGTAGGTATAGGCAAAGTCTATAGGGTTACTTAAGCCTGGGAACTTTTTCGAAACCAGCTTAAAATCTGCTGAACCAGTTGAAACCAGCACTGAACCAGCTGAAATCAGCTGAAGCAGCACAAAACCAGCTTGAAACTAGTAGAAACCAGCTTGAAACCAGTGAAAATCAGCGAAATTCACACACACGGTTAAGCTGGTTGTAGCTGCTTTCGAGTTGGTATTCACTGGTTTTGTGCTGGTTCAGTGCTATTTTATCTGGTTTCAGCTAGTTTAGCTAGTTTCAGCTGGTTTCGAAAAAGTTCTCAGGCCCAAGTATCTCTATATCTATTTTGGTGGAAATGTCATTGCTTTGCGCGGGCACGGTAGGGGGATACATGCAGGAAAATGGTTGTATCTTGAGTGGTAGGGAAAGTGTCTCTTCGTCTCTTCTCTTTCTTGGCCCAAAACCCTCGTAAGCTACCTACTAATGACTAAGGAGTACATTTCATGAGTAAACTGATAAACATCAGGAGTTTCTGAACTACAGAATCTGGAATTCCACATGCTTGTACACTATAATTTTAAGGTGGTTTACCCCTCGGTTCTAACAAACAAAACAATTTTATATTGGCAATATAAGAATCCACGACGTATCCCTTATCCCCCAACCGCGCCCGCACTCACCAAAGTAGGTATAGGGTTACTTGAGCCTGGGAGCTTTTTCGAAACTAGCTTAAAAGCAGCTGAAACCAGCACTGAACCAGCTGACATCAGCTGAACCAGCACAAAACCAGCTTGAAACTAGTGAAAACCAGCTCGAAACCAGTGAGAATCAGCGAAATTCACGCACACGGTTTAGCTGGTTTTGAGCTAGTATTCACTGGTTTTGTGCTGATTTCAGCTGGTTTTTACTTTTTAGTTGGTTTCGAAAAAGTTCCCAGGCTCAAGTAACCCTATACCTACTTTGGTGAGTGCGGGTGTGATAGAGATATGATTGTATCTTGAGTGGTAGGGGAAGTGTCTCCTTATCTCATCTGTTTCTTGCCCCAAAACTCTCGTAAACTACCTACTGATGACTAAGAAGTACATTTCATGAGTGAACTGATAAACATGAGGAGTTTCTGAACTACAGAATCTGGAATTCAACTAGAATCGCACATGCTTGTACTACAGGGTATTCCGAAATTAATGCATCAAATTTTTATGGCCTATTCTACGTTGAAAGTGAGCCCTAGTTTCCTATATAAACATATGTCCGGAAACGTCTCCTTCCCGGGATACAGGGTGTTGAAACTCTAAGAAAAAAACTATTTTTTTCATCATAATTTTCAAACCACTCTAGATATTTTATTTAAATTTTGTATATTGCTTCCAAGCAGCAAAAGGCATTTTTGATGTGAAATTATCTTTTTCAAAACGTCCGTACCCGAATTGTATGGAATATTTTCTATGAAAAAAAATGGTGCGCCACTGCTTTTTCCTAAAATAAAAATCATTTTTGAAATCCCCATTCATTTTGAAACAAATTTGATCTCTTGACTTTTTTGCACCGTTTTCAAGTTAATCAATAAAAAACCATTGATGATAAAAATGTTAAAACATTAAACACCTAAAATTTCAAATAATTTTTGTGACGTCACTGGTAATTTTTTTTGGGTTTTATTGCCTGAAATCAGTGGACAAAATTTTACTGAAATATCTAGGGTGGTTTGAAAATTATGATAAAAAAATAGTTTTTTTCTTAGAATTTCAACACCCTGTATCTCGGAAAGGGAGCCTTTCCGCGCATATGTTTATATAGGAAACTAGGGCTTATTTTCGACGTAGAATATGCCATAAAAATTTGGTGCATTAATTTCGGAACACCCTGTATAATTTTAAGGTGATTAACCCCTAGGTTTCAATAAACAAAACAATTTTATATAGGCAATATAAGAATCCACGACACTGCCCAAATGAACGAGCAACTGAAAATCGAAGCCCACGACAGTGAAGTTTTATGTCTAGAATATTCCCCTAGCGATTCTATGCATAACATGTTGGCCAGCGCTAGCAGGGACCGGTTAATACACGTCTTTGATACGAAACATAGATATAGCTTTGTTCAAACCTTAGATGATCATTCCTCAAGTATAACAGCAGTCAGATTTCTAAACCATTCAAATAATCTTCAAATGGTATCCTGCGGGGCGGATAAAAGTTTATTATTCAGGTCTTTAGGAGAGGTAATTGCAAATATTTTGTTTATTCGTTGTAATAATGTTTTGTTTTGGTAGTTTAATAACAAAGCTCAGTTTGTGAGAGATTATAACGCCACTGGAAAGACGACACTTTACGATATGGAAGTGGATACTGGCCAAAAGCACGTTTTGACAGCATGTCAGGATAGAAATGTGCGCGTTTACAGCGTCACTACTGGAAAACATACAAAGACGTTTAAAGGAAGTACAGGCGATGATGGATCACTGATAAAGGTAAAGTATCTCGTAAAGTATAGTCTTGAACTAGGCAAGATATTTAACTTAGATCCGATAGGTGGAAGGGTCAATGTGATCTTAACCAATAAATGAGACTTTTGAATTAACTGTGAAATTTCTAAAATTCACGTTCTATATTTTCTCTAGGTTGTCTTGGATAGATCAGGCATCTATTTAGCCACCTCGTGTACAGACAAAAGCCTAGCAGTGTACGATTATTACTCAGGCGAATGCATGGCAACGATGTGCGGGCACAGCGAGTTGGCAACAGGGCTGAGATTCACTACAGATTGTAGGCGATTGATCAGTGCAAGTGGCGATGGGTAAATTATTCCCTAGCTGCTGATTTCATCACTTAAACTATAAATCGTTTCAGATGTATTTTCGTATGGCGAATACCGCACGATATGGTTATTACCATGCAAGCCAGGCTGAGTCAGCAAGCGATGCGACAAGGAAAGACGTTGGAAGCGGAATTGTTCAATGATAGCACGAATTTCGATTTGTATGAAGGCAATACTAATGTAGATACCAAGTACCGGTAAGAATAGGACTTTGAATAATTTTAGCTTGAATAAATACAATCATATTGTTTCAGGTTTAGTATTGGTCAGTTACCTCAATGGGCGAAAAAACAGCTAACGGAAGAATCTAGTCAATTGCCGAGCCTTAATAAGGGCGTATCGGCACCAAAAGGACGTTGGGCCCAGCGAGCTGAAACTACCATGGGGGTTCAATCCTTTTATAGTAATCAACCGTTGCAGTTTCCTGTTATGGGTAAGATATATTTGGTCTCGTATTGAGGAAAATTATTAATTTTCATGTTTTTAGATAAGAGATTTGATTCGGACGGATCCAAGGACAGTTCTCTGGACAGCGGAGCTGATTTGAAATTGTATCAGGAGATTAAGAAGGAATCCATGACGACAGCAGCTATAAAAGTAAGTCAATTGACCCTGTATTAACTTGGAAATTATCACAAGCCACACAACCACAGCTTTTCCATAGATTATAAGAATTATCATTATTAAATTAAAATAATATTAATAGGCTGGATAAAGTGCATTAATTATTTTCCATTATAAAATTGTATTCTTATGAAAAGGCATGCTACCTAAAAGAAATTATTCTAAATCGCATGAAAATCTTCTTCAGTACATACTTATAAAAAATGCAGAGGGTAACAGAGACCGATACGTAAGTAAATTGCTGATTTGTATTAAAATATTATAAGTCTAAGAACCCATGAATATTGATTGATAACCAGGTTAACGTTGTGGAATCTCTGTTGGTTAGAGCAAAACTCAAAATACCACATCACAATTAGTAGGAGTAATATAATATCTCAATTTCAGCTATCACAAAATATAACTATAAGAGACCATAGGAGAGGGGTAATGACTGATGACAGCGCCATCGGCGACGCAGAATCGACTGCGCACGATGGCGATTTGGATAGTGATAGCGAATACAGGTAAGTGAGATCAGTATAATAAATGTAAAAGAAACCTTATTACATTAACATTCTTTTTAGGCATCGCCTTTTATACTATCCAAACTTAGCTGACTCGCCTACCGGTAACGAATTTACCGTCACAAATATCGATGCTGATGAGCTTAGAAAATCTCAGCGCAAAAAGAAAACACCTCAAATAGTGATACAACAACCGACAACTGGAACTTATGATTCGGATGATGATGACGATGATGTAAGTAATTTCTAACTATTAGTTGAAAATTATAATTATTTTATTGTTATTATGTAGGCCTCAACTCCAAGCGGAGAAAATACAGACAGAAATCCAATGTCATTGTTCTCTGTGAGTTCCGAATCGTTGGATCAGCTAGTCAATAGAGAAAGGTATCTTCAGTCGACGTTTGAGAGTATGTCTGGAGCTGAAATGGAACATCACACTCCTAGTAAGGAATAAAATCTAAAAAATTGCCTTATAGTAAAATTACTTCTTTATTACAGGCAATAAATCGTCGTTTTCTTCTAAATTTCTCACAAACAGTGCCAGCAGGAATATGGAAGCAATCAATGCTGTTCAACTGACACGTAGTAATCCTGAAGCGATGAAGAAACGTCAAGAGCTGAGCAAAAGGATAGCTGAGACAAAGAAGAAGTTGGAAAGTGTAAGTAGTTTTTCTGAGTGCCTTTTTTCATAGATTTCGACTTCAAATCTGAGAATAATTTAGTGTATGAAGTATGTTGATTGACTATTAGGATACAAAATATTGACAAAAAAAAATTTGAAATTTCATCGTTTTAGTAAGAAGGTACCTACCTTACGATTTAGATTTTCTATTATAGATGGAAAGCTGAAACTTTCACTGAATTTTATCCCAATCAAGGGACTACAATCCCTGAAAATTTCAGCTCATTTGCACTTATAGTTCCTGAGATAAAATCGTGTTAAGCAGTTTGGGGTGATTTATCAATTTTTCAATTTTTCTGAATGCCTTTTTTCATAGATTTCGGCTTCAAATCTGAGAATAAGTTAGTGTATGGAGTTTGGGATATGTTGATTGACCATTAGGATACAAAATATTGACAAAAAAAAATTTGAAATTTCATCATTTTAGTAAGAAGGACCTTATGATTTAGATTTTGGAAAACTTTGAAAGGTTATACATAATAAGCTGAAACTTTCACTGAATTTTATCCCCATCAAGGGACTACAATCCCTGAAAATTTTAGCTCATTTGCAATTATAGTTCCTGAGATAAAATCGTGTTAAGCAATTTGCGGTGATTTATCAATTTTTCAATTTTTCTGAGTGCCTTTTTTCATAGATTTCGGCTTCAAATCTGAGAATAAGTTAGTGTATGGAGTTTGGGATATGTTGATTGACCATTAGGATACAAAATCTTGACAAAAAAAAATTGAAATTTTATCGTTTTAGTAAGAACCTTTATGAGTGGTTGCCTCCTCGGTTTTTGCCTAACAGCTTCGTTAATTTCCATCCGATTTCAACGCATAATTGGACTCTAATTAAATCCAATTAAATTCTCTACAAACCGTTATACACTGACACAAACAGCCCAAAACCCACTGGGTTTTTGTCAGCATTGATGGCGGGTTATTCTCTCAAAAACCCAGGGTTTTTGGGTATGTCAACCCTGATTTTAAGGCTGCATGTTCCTATCTAAATTTGTATGGAAATGTTAAGCGTTGTCGGTCGAATATCCGGTCACCCTGTATATACAACTACGTTCGAAAAAGTATTTATTATCAAAACAGTTACAATAATTAATGGTTTTTCTTTAATTTTTCAGGTTGGCCACGTTAGTCCCTTAAAATACAGTCAGTCAATACACGATTTAAGCCATATACCAGAAAGAGACAAATGGTCAAAAAAACAAGGTAAGTTTTTCAACAAAAAAAACCTTGAATTGTTATTTATTAGTTTTTGGTTAAGTAGTTATTGGCAATAACAATAATAATAATAATATTGTTTTGAAGTTGGTTGATTGGATTCTTGGTTGAAATGTCAATAGTTCAAGACATAAGTTATACATTTCAACCAAAGAACTAGCCTGTGAAATACTAACACGTAACTTTATGTTCCAACTCACCTAACGCCGACTCAGATTGTAGCGTTGTTAACCCGCCGACTAACAACAGCACCACCGCAGCAAGCGCCTGCGCATGCACCGTCGACACTTCGAGTAAAAGTGTCCCGACAAATTTACAATTGTGCGGCTGTTACATGAGCGATTTCGAGGGCATCGGTAGTAAAAACGCGTCTAAAGTTAATCAGTTTTTGAATTTATCGTCGATCGTCGATCAAGAAAGTAAGAGTTTTCGAGATAGTTTGCAGCAAGCCACCAAAAGTCCCGATAAAAGCTTTGTTGGGCCTAGAAAATTGAAATTGGATAAGACTTTGACTAAGTATAAAATGCATAAAAGTTTACCGGTGAGTCCTGTGAGCGAGGAGAGACAGTTTGCTGACTTTGTTGAGCAAGATAGCGGGCAAAGGCAAAGTTTTAGGTAGGTATAGCATGTTTTTAGTTTACGTTGTGTTTTGTGTGACCACACAAAGCAACATCCAGATACTTTTTTCAGCTATTTTTTGGATCTTGAATCTAAATCGACTGATGAAGGCTTCAAACAAGTTTGCAGCGACATTGAAAAGTTTAGTCAAGATTTCAGTCAAAAGTACGATCAAATTGAAAAAAGTTTTGCTGACAAAAATATGGAGTTAGTGAGCAAAGACCCTAATGGTGACGACGAAGAGTCTAATTTTAGCTCTGACTCTTTGGAGGATTATAATTTCTTTTCGTACACTACCAAGAAAAGTAAGAAAACTGTGCCACCTAGGAGATGTGTGTCAAATAATGAGATTTATAAGTACCAGGAAGAATATATTGGTAAGATGAGCTAGAATAGTTTGGAATATTTTTCTATGGAATACAATCTTACATCCTTTTTGCAAAAAGAATAATAATTCCTGATTCTTCTTATATTTTAGAAGAAATCCCTAAAAGTGAATCCTTCTACCTGAACCAAAACTACTCGATACAGGGTAGCCAAGAAAGCATACTTTCTGACGAAAACAATTTGGATTACGATTATTGTCCAAGCCGTGCCAAAAGTTACTGTAATAGTTTAGAGAGTGTCCTGTCAAATGAGAGCGATTGTAAAAGTGCCCCACTGGAAGTTTTGTTTGAAGACAAAAAACGACAGGTACCTACCTGAAATTTATAAATTCTTGCATTATTACAATAATAATTTGTTTCAGACCAAATACCTCGTGCCGCACTCTCAAAGCCTTCCCAAAAACATATCCTCGCAATTTGAACTATCATCAAGTCTTCCTAAAAATTTCCTAGAACATTCTTATATTCACTCAAGTACAAATAATTCTGTAGCCAAGCGTAATATTTGCACCAAATCTAAAACGTGTCAAACGCAAACTGATTTTGAAACGCCTCATGAAATTGTTGCCAAAAAGTCAAGAGGCTCTGAAGATTTTCAAAAGAAATTGTTGAAGTTTGAGAGTAGTATTGCGCAAGGATCTAGCCAGCAACAACCAGTAAACAATCTTCTTCAACTATTACAAAAATTATTATCATCAACATTTTTCAGGTGGCATTTTTTGTTGAAACCTCAAGTAAAGAAAATGTCCCGATAAAGCAACAAAAATCGAATGAAATGTTTATACCAAGTTTAGCTCAGAAAAATAAACAATATAAAAGCAAATTTTGCAACGTGCTTAACAACAAACCGGATCATAATTTTGATATTTTTGAAGAAAGAGGGCGTAATAGGAATAATAGTTTTACTTTGTCAACAATTAATTTTGAAAAAAATACTAAAAGGAATAATGTACAAGTAAAAGTTGTTTAATGTTTGTTTGTTTTTTGTAATGTGTAATTTTAGGAGACTTCAAGTTTGGATCGCCATCTATTTGCCAAAGGTTTACTCAATAATAGTGAAAAAATCACTCACAAGCCTCCGAAAGCCGTTAGAAGACACAGTTCGAAAACTAGAAAAGGCAAAACCACTTACGAGTATATTCGAAAGGAAGATTTTTATAAGACTGATGGTAAAAAGTTTATTCTTTGTTTGCTGAATTTTTGAATTGATTGATTCCGTTCAAGGCTCAGGTGGTAATTTTCTCAATAATCGCAAAAGAGAATTAGTTTTAACTGGAGAAAACACTATAGAGTTATGCTTTAAAGAGAAACATGTTGATATGGATGTTGAGGCCGGTACAAGTCTTGCAAAAAGTAATATCAAATTGGGATTAAGTGGAGACAGGTATGGATAGTGTATAATGGAATCAAACTTTTGCAAAATTCAGAAAAAAGTTATTCACACATTGGTGTCAAAATTTAAATCAATTTTTAGTTAACAAGGTTTTTAAGACTAAATATGACATGCCTCCATATTTTGACCATTTAATCAAAAACTACTTGAGGCGCAAATATAAGACTTTGCGGAAATATTTTTGTGGCTTAGAAGCAAAACATACTGAAAATTCAATTTAATTGAATGAAAAATTACAAAGTTACAAGGTTTTTAAAAATTGACATTTTCTTCTCGACTGTTAAGGGGGCCTTCTCCTTTTTTTTTATATTTTTGGTGAAGTGGTGAATGAAGACAGAATTTCTCTTGCTGTATCCAGTTTTAAAGATAGACGGGAACCTGAAGGTAAACATATAAGTGGTAATACTGTTCCAACAGCTTCTGAATGGTTCGATAAAGAAACCCCACAATGCGTTTTTTGTAAAGGATTACATTTTTCTGACGAATGTGGAGAAGCCTTGAAACTCACAGGTCAGTTAAGTTAGCCCCTCGCATAGAAAATTTCTGGATGAAAATTATCCCATAATTTTGCTCTCATTTTGCTCCACTAATTTCCATTTTTGCTCCATTACAGTGGAGAGACTATGTGGCCTATTAGGTGGGGGGGAGGGCTGAATTAACGTTTGCCCCCCAGTGATAATTCAGAAATTTGATCATGCTCATTTTGTTCTCCGAGTTTTGGTCCATTTTGCTCCATTATCGGCGAGTTTTGCTCCATTACCAGGAGAGACCTACAGAGCTCCCAAGAATCTCTCCCAGCCCCCCTCCCAGTGAAAATTCTGAAATTTGATCATACTCATTTTGTTCTCTGAGTTTTACTCCATATTCGAGTTTTGCTCCATTACCAGGAATGACCTACAGAGCTCCCAAGAATCTCTCCCTTACTGATTTTCATACATAGTATACTACCCCATTGCGCATTTTCACCGATGTAATACTGTCCTCGTCATTTGACAGCAGCAAAACAAGGATAGGTTACTGATCAAGAGAAATGCGCATAAACAATTGGTTACAAATGGTTAGTAGCTGTATGTCAAGTATGACATACCGTTTTCTAACCCGGTTACAGCGTGACTTGATCGATACCATTCGAATTTGAGTGGTATGTTGGGGTTTGTTAAACCGGAGCCGCGTGAAAAGGGTTTATGGTTAAACCAACAGAACCAACATCCAATGGCCGGTAACTATTTTGATATTTATAGCGAATTCCATTGGAAGGGTTAGTGTGCTGAGTCTTCGTGTCTTTTTCTACCAGCCTGTATAAGAACTAGATAAAAATACATTAGGTCTGTTTCTGCAGAAATCACAAATCAGTCAGAGCTAATTTCATTCGTTGAAAACACTCAGAAACAGTCAGAAAACTAGTTTCAACCAATGAAATTCACTCTGACTGGTTTGTGATTTCTGCAGAAACAGACCTATTATTTCTGCACTGGTGCTACCAATGAAATTCATTATTAGTTAACTAGATTTCAGGAAACCGAGGTCCAATAGTAACCACTTTTTCAGGAACCAAAGTAATTTGATTTCTTTCGGATTGTGGAACCACAACTCTGGTTAAATTCGGACCACAGCCTTAAGCTTCTCTCTCTGGCGTCAGACAGTCAGATGTCAAAAGAATATGAAAACAATGGTTGACAGTGGTTTGTTGACAAGGCTTTTATATGCGTGGAAATTGAAAACTATTATTTCCTCGGTTTTATCAAGGTGATTGTTTAGTGTGTCTTTTCGTAAAAATAATTCCTATCAATCGTCTTTCCATAAGTTTTACCTCTTGAAAAAAAAGGTTTGTTTTTTGTGTTGTTCGGGGCAGCACTTCCTGCTTTGAGGCGTTCGTTTGTGAGCGTTTCACATAGTTTATCTGCCATAATCCGAAATATTACAGCTTAGTTCAAACAAACAAACCTAATGTGTGCAGGGTTTTGCTCCGTAGGCACATATCTCCATGAATCAACTGGAGTCAGGCTTTGTATATTAGTGACCCCAACAAAAACTTGAAGTGTATTAGGTGAACATCAAAGAACCACAGTAGAATCACACCAAAAATAAATTTCATTGAATGTAAGTGTCAATGAAGATTTTACCTTGCTAAACAATTGACCAGGGCTGGGATCACAACAAGTAGAATTCTACTAAAGTTCATTTCACGGAACGAGATAGTGACAGTAAACAAACTTTGACAGGTAAGTAGAATTTTATTGGCGAGCAAAGGATTATCCGTGTGTGGCTAAATTCAGCTGGTGTAGGCACCGTGGTGGAATGGTAGAACAAGCAGTGTTGTTAAATTAACCAGGATTTTACAAACTGTGGTTTGGCATTGACATTAGTGAATTTTTATCACTGCATCCGTGGCGGTGCACCTTGGTGCACCATTTTGGTGAATTTAGCAACACGCGGTATACTCCATCCTAGGCAGGACCGTCTTAGGTTGTTTTGTTTTTCTCTTCTCTGAATATATTTCCGAACGAATTCTTCAGCGTAATTGTTTAACTTGATAATGTTTTAATTTAAATTGCTCACTAATTAACAATAATTCACCAAACACTATTTAAATAATTGTAAAATACTACGAAATACGACATTAAACTTTAAGGCGATTTCGCCTCAGTTTGGTACCCCAGTTTGGTCTGTCAAACAGGGATGCGATTTTCGAAACCATTCAAGTACATTTCGTACACGAAATTTGACTGACAACAATGTAAATTAAATGGGGAACAGTCAAATTTCGTGTACGAAATGTACTCGAATGGTTTCGAAAATTTCGGATAGATGAATGATGCTGTCACAACAACTTTGGTAGGCCCTTTGGTCTGTCAGATGCTATACCGCGGTTTGACTGGGTAGTGGAGGTTTGGTAGCTTTCTGTCCCTTTTTCTCTCATGTCCAAATAAACATGTCAAAGTCAAAATGTACCAAACGCCCTATCCACTGAATTCGGATGGGATTGTTGAACTACGTCACTTACGTACCAATTGGTAAACCATGTGCCTACCAAACAGCAGATTAAAATCTGGGGCGAAATCGCCTTTATTGATTCATATGACAACCTGACAATAATAAATGTCATTAGTTGTAATTCATATTTTTGCAGTACTTTTCTGAATTTTTAAGCTGCGCCTGTTTGTTTACCTCTACTATCTCGCTTCGTGGAATGAACTTTAGAATTCTACTTTCATGACGTCAGGTTGCCAAGCAACCTTCATCGTCGCTTGTAAAATCTGTTTTTTTTTTAAAGATAATTCCCCAAGTCAAAAATTTAGTAACTATGTTGGCAACACAAGCCTTTTCTACATGAAAAATTTGATAGCATTGACAATTTTACATTGTATTGCCAACCTAATGTCAGTTTGACTTTTATCTTTAAAAAAAAAACGCACTTTACTGTACGCGATAAATAGGTCGCAGGTGACGTCATGAAAGTAGAATTCCACTCATCGCGATCCCAGCCCTGTCTCGCATAAATAGAAAAAGATAGGTCAAGTGTGCCAAAAGTAAAGTTCCACACAATTCCAATCTTGGAATGCTTAACGACTGGAGAGATGCTACCCTAGTTTTAGAGGTGAGAAGTTCAACACAATATTTGTTGTCTTCGTCCATAGTTCGGACTAGATACATACATGCGCCATATGCAGTATTTGAACCATCCGAAAACCCATAAAGTTGAATTGTGATTGGGTTTTTGCATATTACGCATCTTGTTATTTGTGAGGTATTTATTTGGAAGAGCTGAGCTGTGATATAAAAGAAGAGCTGAGATATAAAACTTAACCATAGCTTTTTGCTATGTCAAATGAAACAGGGTCGTCCCAAGAAAGTTTTAACGACCACAAAACTTGAAGAAGTAGTTTTGCCTTGATAACAAAAGGACTCGGAAGACCAAGAGGATCAAAAATCAAAGTCGTTTTGTGATTTTTCCGACCTTGGATGTAAGAGTGATGCTAAATAAAAGATTGTCTGACTGCTTGTTTCCAAAGAAATAGTTCCGAGTACAATTACCACATGATAATTTTAATAAAAGCCCTTTGCTGTTAGCGTGAGTCAAGACATGCTGATCCTAAAATTGACGAAATTTCCTCACACACGCAGTGGCTTCATGGAATCTGACCCTGAGAGTAAATCATCCACGTAAAAATCTTTGCTAATAATACTTTGCATATCTAATGCCAACTGTTTGAGACACCGTGTAGCTAAAAAAGGAGCACTCCTTGGTGACAGTGTCTAAAGAGAAGACTTGTAAATCGTTCTGAGGATCAGCTCGCCACAAAATCAGTTGTAGTTGGCGAAACTCTATCTTGACTTGTATTTGCCTGTATACATTTTACAAATATCTGTTGAAAAAACGTATTGATGTTGTTTAAATCTTAAGATAATTGACACTTGAATCATCTCGCTCTACTGGCTCTATCATTTGAATGGGATTATATGATAGACAAGTAGAACTGGGAAGAGAACTTTGCTTTTACAGCTCTGGGTCGGGGCCTTTTCAGTTTACCAGATTGCCTTTTGGGTTGCATAATGCTCCGGCTACTTTTCAGCGTCTTATTAACACAATTTTAGATCCTGGACTCATACGTGTTCTGTTATTTGGACGACATTATCTGTGTCTCACTTGATTTTGATACCCATCTGAAAACCTTAAAGAAGGTGTTCGATCGGTTAGAATTTGCAAGGCTCACGTTGCACAAAGAAAAGAGCAAATTTTGTCGCTCCTAATTAAAATATTACGTCGTTAATCGTTACGTAACGGAATTTCAGTGTTAAGTTTTTTGACTTTTCCCACGTAACATACCATGATGAGGAGAAAAATAGAAAGTTTGATTATTGAAAATTGTGAATGGTGACATATGATTTAAACTCTGACATACATTCGTGATACATTTCCTTTAATTTTGGCTAACCTTCGCTCTAAGGCTAAGAACTGATTTAAAGCTTGAATTTTGGTCTCTGGAGACTCCTTAAGTGAAATTCCCACAATAAGTCTACCGTCTGAATTCCGCTCAACATTTTCTGTTGAATGTTTTACTGCTTAAGATTCTTCTTCAGAAAGAATTGGTGATAAAGTCTTACCCTCTTCAATTTCCCAAAACTTTAAATGTCTATGGTCTTTGAGAAATGACAAAAGGTATGCCTTGCCTCAGAAATTCCTATGGGACTTGATATTAATTAACCCAACTTGCTGTTCTGCAACACAGGCTTGTCAGTGCCTAATGAAATACGTTCTAATGAAATAAGATGCCAAAATATTTGCGCATTTATAAGTGTGCTTGGGCTCAAAAAATGCTAGATCAGCTAATTGACATATTTAGGAAACCTGGATCAAAATATGAATTAGGTAGATCATCTGTAATATGTGGAATATTCAGGCAATCTAATGAAATGTTGAAGTCACTGTAAGATGATTTACATTTGATTTTACAAGATTTGGCAATGTTGGAAAATGCGAGAACAATTTCTATTATTGAAGACTGAATCTTATTTATGATTTATGCCCAACTTATTAACAAAGTTTTGAGAAATACAAATAGCATTACCTAGGAGAGTTCTACAAAAATGCTCCTTGCCATACACATCGAAACCTTGAACCACTGCTGTGACTAATAAAATTTCACCTTTGTTTGAATTGTATAAGGTAGCCTGACCTTGACTAGGATTTGATTCCCCACTTGAATCAAGGCTGTCCTTTTCAATTGAAACTGAGGGTTGCTCTTTATGGAGCATAGTGAATAATGTCTTTTCCTGCAATGTTTACAATGGCCATATCGACATTTGTCGGGTTTGTGACCAATCCGTAAACAATGTTGATATGATCTTTCACTAACATTTTTATTGTTTACAGCAACTACTTTGAAAAAACCGATCAGCAAAATACAATTTTAACCGAGCTATACGACAGTTTAGATAAGAAATCCCCTCCGTCCAGAATGGATTTAGATTCTTTAGATGTAAACTTGCATAATCCGCATTGTACTTTAGACAATGAATCGAATAAAAACCTATTTGACAGTTTAGAAGTGAACGTGTGGACTAAAGCCACTTGCCTCAACAAAAACACACACAAGGTGCTCAAAAAACAAGTAAAAAGACCATGAGGTAAATATTCTATATTGACAAACTAAATTTCAGCAAGTCAAAAAAAGCCAACACTCGCCTCAAGACAAAATCGCCGCCGCCCTACAAAACATCAAAATCCTAAACGAAATACAACGAAAAATCCACAAAATCAACACTCTGGTCGACATTTACAAGAAAAACGTTTCAAAAAGTAAAGTTAAAGCCTTGTCTTCAATGTACGAAAGCATGACAACGTCCCAAAGCTACTACAACGATTTAACAAAACTGCAAGCCACCCCGATGAAGTTTAGAAGAAGAAATTTAAGTTTGCCTAGTTTTGTTGAAAGGAGGCTCAACTTTGTTTGCAATCATAATTCGAAGAGCAACGAAGGTGCCATTATAATTGTTCTAGACTTGTGCATGGATGGATATAGATGTCAAAGCTTTTTATTCGGCATGTATTTTTGTAAATAGTTTGTGGTTTGAAGCCACTTTTTTAGCAAAGCCGTGATTGTGACTGTCTTTAGAAATGTTAGATTAAGCATGATTTTTTGTACAATAAATATTGATTTTTTCAATAAAATTTTTTGTTTCAATTAATTTTCTTTTTTTATCCCTATGCATGAGAGTGCTAGCTTGCATGTGGATACATAATATCAATATAATGTATTTTACATTGGTTGGAATGTTTTATTTTATTTTTTGTTTTGTCCCAAATTTTGGTTACCATTTTTGCATGTTTTCCAGTTTATTTAGATGACACGTCTAGTCCAGATTCGAGCTTGAGGAGGTCGTGTAGTTTGTCTGATTTGAGCATGCAAAACGTGCCTCTACCCAAACGAAAACAGTCCGAACCGAGTAAGTACATTTTACATTTTAAAGATGGATGTTTTACTTGGGCTTTGCATACACGTATTTTGCACGATTTCTTACTTCACTAATATGTTCTTACTAATTTTAATTTCTACTACTAAATCTATCTCTGGATTGGAAAGTCTTGTACAAGATTATGTTTCAAGTTATTAGTCCATAATTCAGATATTAGAATTTCCTTACTGTGCAATTCTTGCCTGTTAAGATTATTTTCAATGTAAAACTATAATTGCATTTCTCAATAAGGTAAAAAGCCAGCGCCTCCAGCCAGAATAACTCCTCGCTATGTGAAAAACAACTCGATGATGCGCAGCAAATCCAGCGTAATGTTGAACCAGCAACAACAGTCCGACTCGGAAAACGACACTCAGGAAAAGAAAATGTCGCGACTAATGAGGCCGACAATCAGTTCGCACAATAAGGTCAGCCAAAAAACTTTGCAGCAGAGTAGGAAGAAACAATCTTATTCGACAAGTGAGTAACTGTTTGTGAGAATAAACTGGGCTTTATTTAAGTATTTTTTTTTTTAAAGGTAATCTTAATCAAGTGGGCGTCGATAACATATCAACTTCAGACGATGAAGAAGCTCCAAAAAAACCTCAGGTACCTCCGAGAATGAGTAGGCAACATAGTTTCGAGAATGGTCAAGGTACCAAGAAGTTTATGAACAATAAGGAGGCTAAACGAGGTAGTTAATTCGATAGTTGCTTTTTACGCTTGGGATATAATAAGATTAATGCAGTAAGCAAAAATGCAACAGCTGGTAGTAGTTTTAAACTGATTCACACTGTGGTCTGTTCCAACTCTGTATACAAAAATGTACGGTTCCCTGCTGGGTTGGAACAAAGCTACTAATTAAACCATATTTTTTTTCTGCCATTTTCATTCAGGCTTTAACCCACTAACACGACTAAGCACCATCATGGTTTTTTTTTTTGGATTTTAGCTTCAAGGCACTCGACTCACTTTGACGACACTCTGATAAACGAGGATCTGGACTTGTCGAGTGAGAGTGTCGATTTATCATCCATAGAGTGTAAGTTTATTAATAAATCGTGCTTTTTTTACCATTTAATATGGCTTGGGTGTTGAAATATACCAACTATGATGTTTAACTTTATTTCAAAATTGTTTTTTTGATAGTTTCCAATCAACTTTGTGAAGATGTCAGTAGACAGCTGGTCATGTCGGCTGATAACGTCGTACGGATTTATCAGAAGCTCAAGGAAAGTGAAGACACTGAGGACGCTCAGCCTGAAGCTTTGGATTCCATCAAAATGTCACTTATCAGAACGCATAAGGTAAGGCATTTTTTGGATTCTGTCAATATCGAAGTAATACAACAAGTGGAAAGATTTTCATGTTAAGTTACATATTTGGAAAATAGTGGAGGTTCAAAACATTGTTTATATCAGCAGCAAGAGCCATCAAGCTAATGAGTTGAAGGTTATCACCCTGATAATTTGGTCTCTTGTTCTTAATAGCTCCAAACCTTTTGAACTGGATTCTTTCCAAAGTTACAAAAAAGTTTCCACAATAGGAATTTTCATTCTTTCTTCATTTTCCGACTTGGAAATAGCCATTCTCTGGACTTACATTTCAAGTTCAGTTTTGCTATTTTGATTTTTCTTGGTACATACATAAATGCAATAAAAAAAATCTGGAAGTTCCTCAGAATTTACAACCTCCAGTTCTCCTCAATCTCACTCATGTGTCATTCTACTCACGGCTGGTTGTTGCTTTGCTCCAAAAAAAAATGAGTCCAGTCTGGATTGTAAGCTCTTGTTGCAACTTCTTCGATAAAATCTGACTCTTTAGTTTCTTGTTTTCAATCCTAATAGTAGGGTGCTATTTGTGATAAAATCGCTCTAGAAATAAATTTTGTGGGGGCTAACAAGCTAAATTTGGTAATGTATCAAGAACTAATATTTCGAAGAATTTTACACTGAAGGAGTCGCAAAAGACACGTTATCAATAACTGAGATAGGGCCCTGTTTCGTCTGATGTGGCCTCCTTCCTCCCCTTATATCCATCCCGATCCTCGCAACTGGTAACTGTTTCTCTGAGACACTGATCTGCGGCTATTACTGATACTCTGAAACTGACGTGAATCGTCTGCCTGGGATTCACGTTGCCTGATGCTGATATACTGATACGTAAATCCTCTACCTGGCATTGATACGTTTTCTGATACTCAGACTAATACTGAGGCCGTGTTCGTTTTTGTCTTTTTTTTTTTGTCTGTTTGCTCCGAAATTTTGACAGGCACGTGACTGGATCAGACAATTTCAATTTACAAATCACGTGCCTGTCAAAATTTCGGAGCAAATCGACGAAAAAGGTGTCAAAAACGAAAACGGTTTGAGACAAACTACTCAAGAAGACTGATAATCTGACAATCTGTCCATAGAAAAGTGATTTATATTCTTGATATAGAACGCTTACTCCTGTTGTAGTGGCCAAATGACATTTCAGACGGTGCTGCCATAGCGGTGTAGTCATTGAACTAATATTTGGCGGGACGTTTGAATCTCGGTTCTAAATGACTGCTTGGAAATTTCAATTATGTCAAAATCAGGCAGTGATCCAAAACTTCATAAACTGAAATTTTAGGCGATTTCGGCAAGCTTTGGTACATGGTTTGGTACCCTGTTTGGTCTGTCAAATGCATACCAACCAATTTCGGATACGAAAATAATGTCGTCACCGTGACTTTGGTATCCTTTTTGGTCTGTCAAATAGGATACCGTGGTCAGCAGCACGGTTCTTCTATTTGGTATAGCGCTATCTACGTCTATTTTCGTTTTGTCCTGCTCTGGGAAATGTAAATAAATGGAAGTTCATTAGAATTTGAATAATAATTTGAAATTTTTAGCAAATATGTTTGTTTTTTCGCCTTCATCTTCCTGTTTTCTCGTATGTTTTGACTGCCAAATAATGTTTGACTATCATTTAAAAAATAACTTTGAACGACAGATATGGGGTAACTTTTTTGCTGAATGGATTATGGAATATGCTTTAAATTTACAGAAAACGCTGAGTTAGCCAATAGGTTACTCAAAGGTACTGTTTAGACAGTGCTGATTAGTGATTATAGATTTTAGTCAGTGCAGTCAGTACCTAGTCACTCCCAAAACTAGAAGAACAACACAAAGTTAGGTTAAGGCTCGTCTCTTCCTCTCTCATGACCTACCAAACGAATTCGGAACAAAATGGTATCTTACGTCATTACTATGACGTTGCAGGTACCAATTGGTTAACCAAATGGTATACCAACCAAAGCTTGCCGAAATCGCCTTTTATTAATTTTATTTTCATATATTTATATGAGAATCACTTAATGAATAAAATAGTCTATAATCTAGATTCTAGATGATCTGGTGTATCTGACTCATGAGCTGACTGAAAACACCTACCAATCTGCTTTTTGAAAATGTCCATTTTTCCATTTGGGGCGTGTTTAGGTTGACGCTCGGCGGAGCGAGCAGACTGATTACGAAGTAACATGACGTCACAGGGAGTACACCGTGTCAAGCCAAATAAACTCGTGCAAAAGTGTCTGGAATTGGTCTGGACTGAGCGAGCGGTCAGCTGATTATTGTTTATTTTTTTTAGGATAATTTTCCCATTTTCTTTCGTGTTCTGCTAAAATTGTGTCGTGCTAAATAAACTTTATAATAAACCTAAAACACTTCTCCTATGGCTGCCAAGTTCGCTCGGAGCGCTCAAAATATGTCAAACCAAACACAATCAAGCGTTGTCGGAGCTTCAAAATAATAGAAGAGAGACAAAAGTGCAAGCTCTGAGTGCGCCGAGCGTGTACCCAAACGCGGCTTTAAATGGCCGTCAGATTTGTTCAAAGTTAGTTCTGATTCCCTCGAGCATGTGTGGAACATCATACAGTGGCACGATTTCTAGGTTGTTTATCTCCAATAAAACCAAAATTTCTATTTCTGTGTGGTTTTTGATGTAGATTTATTTAGTCTGTCACTGCAATTCGCTTATGGCCGATTTATTTTTTGCCGCCTGGTCACACATTGTGATAACAACTCTTAAACCGGCTGCTTGTGACACACTTCAGCACTTATCACTTCTTTCACAAACTTATGCCTCATTCTCACTTGCGCGAAATTCGCTCTTTTTGCGCGAAATTCACTCTTTTTTTGACATTGCTTTGAAAATTTGACGTTTTATGCGTGTATCGAACGTCGAATTGTCGAAGCAATGTCAAAAAAAAGCGAATTTCGCGCAAGTGAGAATTAAGCTTTACAATTCAAAACAACAAACTCAACATTCAACGAAGATACAAAATTGAAAGGACTCCGCACACCTTATAAGGGATTTTGGCGATCGGTCGATTTTTTTCAAATTTTGATATGTTGTAGAGGATTTATTTCTTAACAACCTTTAAATGGGACGAAATCTTGTAGGTATTACGGTCTTTGAGATATGAGCATTGAAAGATGAACTTTTTTGCGACTTTTTGTGTGGAGAGTATACGCGAAATACTGGTGCTACTGGTGTTTATCAGTCAAAATATTGACAGGTTCACATATTTTACGTCAGTATCAAATCAATGTCAACATAGGCTAAGGCCGGAACCGCACTGGGGTCAATGGTGGAGCCAGTGCGGTCTTGGCCTTAGCCCATATTGACATTTGTCAGTGACGTAAAATATGTAAACCTGTCAATATTTTGACTGATAAACACCAGTATTTCGTATACTCTCCACACAAAAAGTCGCAAAAAAGTTCAACTTTCAACGCCCATATCTCAATTACCGTAATACCTAAAGTACGTTTTTTTTTAAAGATAATTCCCCAAGTCAAAAATTTAGTAACTTTGTTGGCAACACAAGCCTTTTCTACATAAAAAGTTTGAAAGCATTGACAATTTTACATTGTATTGCCAACATAATGTCATTTTGACTTTTATCTTTAAAAAAAAAAACGCACAGGATTTCCTCCCATTTAAAGGTTGTTAAAAAATAAATCCTCTACAACATATCAAAATTTGAAAAAAATCGACCGATCGCCAAAATCCCATATAAGGTGTGCAAGGTCCTTTCAAATTAGGCCTTGTTTTCTTTGACAGTCGGTACAAAATGGCGTCTTTTTGTCTCAAAGATTACGAGCCCGAAGGGCCGGAGTATTAAAATCAGTTGACAATGAACGGACTCATATAACTCCGGCCCTTCGGGCTCGTGACGTACTTAAAATAACACCGGCCTTTGAGGCTCGAGATTTGAAAAAAAAACTTATGACAATACTGCTTATGATACACCAAACGTCAAAAAATTGAAATTTTAAAGTGGGCCTTGTTTTCTTTAACAGTCAATACAAAATGGCGTTTCAAAGATCACGTGCCCGAAGGGCCGGAGTATTAAAATCAGTTGACAATGAATGGACTCGTATAACTCCGGCGCTTCGGGCTTGTATAACCTCGGCCCTTCGGGCTCGTAACCTAATTAAAGTAACACCGGCTTTTCAGGATCGAGATTTGAAAGAAACATATGGCAACACTGCTCATGATACAACAAACGTCAAAAAATTGAAATTTCAAAGTAGGCCTTGTTTTCTTTAAAAGTCGATACAAAATGGCGTCTTTTTGTTTCAAAGCTTACGAGCCCGAAGGGCCGGAGTATTAAAATTAGTTGACAATGAACGGACTCGTATAACTCCGGCCTTTCGGACTCGTCTAACCTCGGCCCTTCGGGCTCGTAACGTAATTAAAATAACACTGGCCTTTCAGGCTCGAGATTTGAAAAAAACGTATGGCAACACTGCTCATGATACAACAAACGTCAAAAAATTGAAATTTTAAAGTAGGCTTTGTTTTCTTTGACATTCAATACAAAATGGCGTCTTTTTGTTTCAAAGATTACGAGCCCGTAGGGCCGGAGTATTCAAATCAGTTGACAATGAACGGATTCGTATAACTCCGGTCCTTCGAGCTCGTATAACTCCGGCCTTTCGGGCTCGTAACCTAATTAAAATAACACTGGCCTTTCAGGCTCGAGATTTGAAAAAAAAAAGATATGGCAACACTGCTCATGATACAACAAACGTCAAAAAATTTAAATTTTAAAGTAGGCTTTGTTTTCTTTGACATTCAATACAAAATGGCGTCTTTTTGTTTCAAAGATTACGAGCCCGAAGGGCCGGAGTATTTAAATCAGTTGACAATGAACGGATTCGTATAACTACGGTCCTTCGAGCTCGTATAACTCCGGCATCGTAACCTAATTAAAATAACACTGGCCTTTCAGGCTCGAGATTTGAAAAAAAAAAGATATGGCAACACTGCTCATGATACAACAAACGTCAAAAAATTGAAAGGACCCCGCAATATTTGAACGGAAATTGGTTACCTGTGATATTTGGATGAAATTTAAATATGTTATTGGTGATGGCGTAAGCAACATTTTTTACCATGGGCGCAACCTTGTATATATGACAGGTGAGGCGGTATCGGCTGTCAAATATTGGAATTTAATATTCAAAAGCAGGGTAATTATCGCAGATTTCGATGAAACAAGTATCCATTCCTACTAAGTTGACCAAGGTAAATCGCAAAATGTTAACCATTTTGACCTCTGTCAAAACCCTGCCAAACGGCAGCACTCATATTTTTCAGTTTTCAATATTTCATGATGTGTCATTTGACAGTTTTAGTTTATATATATAAGTTCTGAGTTAAAAATTGGAAAAAAAAATAACAGAACTGTCAAAACCTGTCATTTATTTTAGTAGGAAAAAATATTCATCTCTGGTTCTTTCTTGTTTTAAGGTAGTCTATTGGTGATAAAACATCAAGCAAAGCTCATCGACATCAAATTTTAACAGCTGTCAAAATCTAAAACCTGTGTATAAATTCTTTTTATGCTTCACAATAAATAAGCATAACTTAAATAATTGGAACAGAACTAGAGTTCAGTATTTTTTTTTTTTTTTTAATTAAGGCTAATGTCAGATTCTGACAGCTGTCAAAATTTGATGTCTATGAGCTGTGTTTAATGTTTTATCACCAATAAACTACCTTTAAACGAAAAAGAGTCAAATTGGAATCTTTTTTTTTACTAAAAAAAATGACAGGTTTTGACAGTTCTGTAATTTTTTTTTTTTAATTTTTGAACTCAGAACTTACATAGGTTGAAATTGTCAAATGACACATCATGAAATATTGAAAACTGAAAAATATGAGTGCTGCCGTTTGGCAGGGTTTTGACAGATGTCAAAATGGTTGACATTTTTCGATTTACCTTGGTCGACTTAGTAAGAATCGATACTTGCTTCATCGAAATCTGCGATAATTACCCTGCTTTTGAATATTAAATTCCAATATTTGACAGCCGATACCGTCTCACCTGTCATATATACAAGGTTGCGCCCATGGTAAAAAATGTTGCTTACACCATCACCAATAACATATATAAATTTCATCTAAATATCACGGGTAACCAATTTCCGTTTAAATATTGCGGGGTCCTTTCAAAGTAGGCCTTGTTTTCTTTAAGGGCGGCTTCTCATGAGCGCAATTTATTTATGGCGTGACAGCGTACCTGAATGCAGAATTCTGATTGGCCAAAATCTCGCCATATTGGAGGAGCTGACACCAGTGGCGCACCCAAGGGGGGAGTTTTGGGGGTTAAAACCCCCCCCCCCAAAATTTAGCATAGGTACAAAGAATTTTCCAATAAAAATATTTTTTTTTGCGATTTTGGTTAATACCTACAAACTTTCCAATTTACATTTAAAAAAAAAGCCTATTTACGTTACGCGAAATTACTGAAATCTGGAATCGAAACCAAGAACATGGAAATCTGGCAACCTGGCCCTACATCGTACATCGCGATGGCATGTAATATTGACAGTCGAGTTGTAAAGGGCGCTACTGTACTTGGAGCTCTTCAAATTTTGGTGCGTAAATAATCCAGTGTAACTTAAACATCAAAGGCGTTTTCTCGCATCTCAACTGTTTCAAAATATTTTTCAAAATTGGTTTAAGTAATGTCACTATGACGTCATAATTTCTCGGCGCGAGAAAATGGTTTGAAAACGTGGATTGGATTGTATTCCGACAATGTATTCCGAAACGGTTTGAACCAATTTTGACGTGACGTCATGAGTTTATCGCGAAAATGTATACATGGCCAATCATAAAACTAGAACACCTTCTCTTATTATGTGGTATTGTGTAAATCGACCTTTCTTATCACTTCAAAACTGACTAAGGGCGGGTATTATAAAACTACTTTGAGAGTTAACTTGAAGTTAACTTCTGGAATTACATGTAATTCAAAAAGTTAACTGTCAAACAGTTATGTCAAAGGCTTATGTCAAGTTTACGCTCATGAGAAGCCGGCCTAAAAGTCGATACCGAATGGCATTTCTTTGTTGCCCTGGGGGCTCAAGATTGAAAACACTCTTGCCTTCGGGCTCTAGCCTTACAATGTTGCCAAAAGCTAAGAATTTTAGTCAGCTAACCACATACTACAGTCTACAACATCATAACAATCGTCTCTTGATGTTAATTGCCAATTGTCAACGTTTTACATTTACAATTACAAATGCCCCAAAATTACCGTTAAAATGTAGCAACGTTGCTGTTGTAGGCCTGAATCTGAATGACAAGGCTGTCAATTGACAAAAAAATTCATAACAATCGTAGGTGGCCCTGAAAATTAACTCGTCAATTGTCAAAAGTCATAACATTGTATGCAGGATTTTCAGTTGTCAAAAAAAAATTGAGTAATTATTCCAGGCAGTTGAACCGGGAACAATCGAAAATTTACTGTGATGATAGTTTGCAATCATTGAACTAAACAAAAATTCTGGAACGGGCGCACTGCTTTATGCCACTGTGCCAAATTTTGATGTATGCAACCCAGCAATACGGAGGGATTATTGTCTCGCTCGCACTCATTACTCATTACGCTTGATGTAAAAGGAAGAAGAGCTTCTTCATCTTCCTAACCTCAATGATCCAACCACTTCAAACAGCTGTTCTCAATAGCCGTCATGCTCTGCACCATGAACTGTCAAGTTTCGTATTTAATTTTTTTTTTTATCTTGAATAGTAAAGGCTGTAGTTATGGGTCCAAATATAATCAAATACCTTGTACACTACAACGTTTGCATAAATTGTAGAAACTATGTAACAAAACGGCCTACAAGTCCTTTTTTTTTCGCTTCGTAATACAATTAATTGGTTTTTTCCCAGTCGCTAAATTTCTGACGAAACCGTGTCAAGAGCCAAGGATTATCAGTCGGTTCCCGAAACAGTGTCCTAATTGTGTCTTAAAATACGACTTTCGACTCCTGGTTCGATTTATTTTATTTCTTTTAGAAAACCCCGAGCTAGCATTCCAAATAATTGCGTACAGCTCAGGTAGCAAGAACCCGCACTGGAAGAGGCGATCTAATCAGATTACTAAAATATATCCGTTCAAAGTTACCTAGATTTTTAGTGGGATTTTAGACAAAGTCCCTGGTGGCACGCTACTGCAGTACAAAAATGCCTTTACCAGTGCTAAAACAAAGTCTCCTTTACCCAACCGTCGCAACCAGGTGGCGGTGGTAACAACTATATTGGTAGGAGTTACAATATTCAATACAATAACAGTGCTACCAATTGCAAATGCAATATATCTACACACCTTAGAGTGATGTAACTACGCTGGCTACCAGAATCGAGAAGAAACATTTCACCTTTTAATTTTTGTCTCTTCTTCAATTTCAACAAGGGAAACTCTTGAAAATCAACTTTTTAAAACTAAATTAAATAAAATGCACCTTCATATACTCACAAGTTTTTCTGAAAAACTATTAAAGGGGAAATTTTGAAACTTTTATGGTAAAAAGAGGAAAATTGGGAGCTCATCATATTGAAATTTTGAATTTTCAAGTTTTAAAATAATTTCAACAACAATAAGGATTTAAAAACTGGTTGGTCTGACGTCCTTTTCAAGTCTAATCCTTGAAAAGTTTCTTTGTTATTTACAAGATACTGTAAGTTCAAAACATCTTCAACAGTTTTCAAAACCATCTGAACTGAATCCCTTCCAAAAGATTCCACATTGTAGAAGGTCAGGAATTGTCTCACTTTGATAGTGATATTTTTTTCCTAGTCTCAATTATGCAGTCTCTTACTGTAACTTCTTTGACAAATCTGATAAATTGTGTGAGATAATGTGACATAGACTAATAGTTTCCATAAACAAATTATCTTTTTCCAGATCGTCCACGATTGCATTTTCAACGAATTCAAACAGAACAACGGCAATTTGGACGTGAACCAAACCGACGCCATCAAAAAACTCAACGACTTGGTATCAAAAGGAGCCAGCGGTTCCGGTTCAGTCATCGACCTTATGCAGCAATATTCCGACATCCTTTTGGACATGATGCAACAGAAAATACATTCAGCAAATATTTGATACACGAACAAGAATGGTATTTATTTTGAATTGATTTTGTGAGAATAATTATTGACAACTGATTTATTGTTTAATTTGTATTGGAGCCATTTAAAAGACTCGAGGCAAAATACACTATTCGTTTGTATTATAGTAGGGGATTTTACTGCAATAATTGTATTTTTCTTTAGTGCAATAATCATAATATAAAATATTGCAGTGAAACTTTTAATTGAATGCAAAGAGAAAATAAATCTAATATACTGTGATTTTTAACTACATTTTAATTATCTTTTAATATTTATAATAATAATTTTTTTAAATCTACTAATTCATAAGAATTGTTAAAATTTACTCGTAGTGCAACCGTTTTTTGGCTTTAAATAAAATGTTTGTAGTTAGTTTTATATGTTAAATGTTAAATAACCGGGCCAAATTAGGTTTAGGAAATAGAAAAACCTTATACAGGGTGTAAAGCAAAAATATCAAGACATCACGTGTTAAGTTTGGTCCTTTAAAATGTAATCTTATGAAAATAATATTTCAATAGAATTAACAGAAAAATTTGCTAGCAATATAGATAGGGATCTGGAATTGTATGTAAATTTTGTTCAAGCGAAAATGTCAACAGAAATAATGGAAAATTGACAAATTTAATAATTATCTATTTACAACTATAACAACATTACAAGTTACTGATAAATTATGACCTTTTTACACTGTTCCTGATATTTTCGTCAAAACAAAGTGACTGAAATTTTGAGGAATATCATAATCTTCCAATAAGAATTGAAATTTGAAATGTAAGGATTTGTTGTGTTTCCTATTTTATTGGTCTGGGTGAGATTTATTATGTCATTGCTAGTAGAATTTCAAAAAGTTTTAATAAACCAAAGTGAATTTTTGAGGCACATTTCAATATTCATAAGCCAAACCTTTGTCTAATATGTACAGTGTTTTTTTAAAATTAACATATTGTAATTCGCTTTATATTTAGCCAATTTTGTTTTTAACGTGTCAATTTTACGATAACAATATTTATAGGCAGATTACAACACACACATATAAAATATATTTGTTATTTATATCTGTAACCCTTTCAGACTGTAATATGTAATTTCGTAAGCGGTAATTTCAATAATAATAAAGTTGTATTAATGATTTTTTTGTTGTATTAATCTATATTACTAATCATTTTGGTAACACTAAGAACAAAACTTAAATGATAACATAAATACAATTACAAATAAATTTCTTTTGCGTCACTCAACTCACCTGAACGTTGGTGCACATCTACAGCACAAACGGCAAAGTAAAACTTCTTTTCGGTTTGAAATTGTGACAGATTGCAAGCCATTGGTAATGGTAGAGACTGGACAACGCTTACTTTTTTCCACATCCTCCAAGGCAAAGGATTTGGCGCTTGACAAGCCCAAATTTGATAGCTTCCAATAGTTTCGAACGAGTCTAATTTGTAGGGCATTTCCCATTGCAATACTACGCCCATGTCGAGTTTTCTTAATGTGATAATTGGCTTGGGCAAGGGAAATTTTAATGGTTGAGTTGGTGCTATTGTCGGTTTTCGTGCACGAAATTCTACAAAAAAAAAAAAATATGGAAACTAGTAATATTATAATAAAAAAGTAGTTAAATTCCAGAATCAAGGAAAAGGATGGTGCACCAATACCAGTCAGATAAAAATTAAAAAATACAGAATTGAAGGGACAAATATTTATGAAAGTAAAAAAACTGGTGGACATTAAAGCGAAAGAGGATGTGGCTTAGATAGAATAGACAGAAATTATCTACTTCAATGAGGACTTTGAAATATAGGATAGAAGGTCTAGGTGAAAAAATAGCAATCGAGAAAAAATCATACAGAGAAGTATATATGGTGTCGAATATTTTCAAGATGGTGGCCCTTCAGGTTATACCGGAAGTAGACGTAAACTTACTTATTTCACATGAGACACCCTGTATGTGAGAGCAGATTTCATGTGATATACACGGCATTTCACGAACATCGAAACAGAAGCTTTTTGGGGTATTTCACTAGGGTTCACCCCCTGAGTGGGATGACTTTCACCCCTCTTTTTAAATAGGAAAGATGGGCCAGGTGATTCCTTGTTTGAAAGGTATTTTGTTTCTTGTCACAACTATGTACTGTTTTTGAAAATCGAATGATTAGTTCTCAAGATATTCACTGTCAAAGTTACCATGGACTAAATAGGAAACAATCTTCTGGCCCTGTTATTCTCAAATCAACACTTTCCTGACTTTCCTCTCGGATATTTCAATTTTCTTTTTTTGCGTGCTTCCGAAAAAATTGATATTCTTATTATGGCGCCCAACGTGGGGCAACATTTGGTTCTGTGTGCGTGGGGTCGGTCGAAGAAAAACTGTTTGGCAGGGGCCTGGCCGGAAAACTTCAGCCCTCTTTTTTGAAAATCTGGGACAGGCAAATTTGGCTCTCGTTCTCGCTTCCCATTCTCCCAATCAAGAGGACTTTCGAGAGGGACCAGTGTTGCCAACTGCGGATCAACTATTATAGTATAGAACGCTATAAAATTATAGTACATTTGTACAAATTATAGTATCCTGCTGGAGACAGATGACCACCAATTGTCCTGGTGGGACACACGGAGATCGAACGAACAAAGAATGCAGGAAATTACCATTGAAAATTAGGAAAAATCAATTATTAAATTAGGCCCTAATGCACCATCTAACATTTTATTTTTTTTCTGGAAAACTATTCAAGGAAAAATTATGACATTTTCTGAAAAAAAAGAAGAAAGTCAGGGGCGTATCATAGTAAAATTTTCAATTTTTCCAATAAAAAATAACCTCATTGGAAATTAATGAAAATCAACTAAATTAGGCATAAATGCACCATCCAACATTTCATTTTTCTTCTGGAAAACTATTCACGAGAAAATTATGACATTTTCTGAAAAAAGGGGAAAGTCAGGGACGTATCATAGTAAAATTTAAAATTTTTCCAGTGGAAAATAACCTCATTGGAAATTAATGAAAATCAACTAAATTAGGCATAAATCCACCATCCAACATTTTATTTTTCATCTGGAAAACTATTCAGGGGAAAATTATGACATTTTCTGGAAAAAAAGAGAAAAGTCAGGGGCGTATCATACTAAAATTTCAAATTTTTCCAATAAAAAATAGCCCCATTGGAAATTAATAAAAATCAATTAAATTAGGCATAAATGCACCATCTAACATTTTATTTTTTTTCTGGAAAACTATTCAAGGAAAAATTACGACATTTTCTTAAAAAAAGTAGAAAGTCAGGGGCGTATCATAGTAAAATTTTCAATTTTTCCAGTGGAAAATAACCTCATTGGAAATTAATGAAAATCAACTAAATTAGACATAAAAGCACCATCTAACATTTTATTTTTTTTTTCTGGAAAACTATCCAAGGGAAAATTATGACATTTTCTGGAAAAAAAGAAGAAAGTCAGGGGCGTATCATAGTAAAATTTCAAATTTTTCCAGTGGAAAATAACCTCATTGGAAATTAATGAATATAAAAAATGCACCATCTAACATTTTATTTTTTTTCTGGAAAACTGTCTAAGAGAAAATTATAAAATTTTCTGGAAAAGAAAAGAAAAGTCAGGGGCGTATCATACTAAAATTACAAATTTTTCGATTAAAAAATAACCCCATTGAAAATTAATGAAAATCAATTAAATAAGACATAAATGCACCATTTAACATTTTATTTTTCTTCTGGAAAACTATTCAGGAGAAAATTATGACATTTTCTGGAAAAAAAGAGGAAAGTCAGGAACGTATCACACTAAAATTTCAATTTTTTTTAGTGGAAAATAACATTATTGGAAATTAATGAATATCGACTAAATTAGGCATAAATGCACCATCTAACATTTAATTTTTTTTTTTGGAAAACTATTCAAGGGAAAATTATGACATTTTCTGGAAAAAAAGAAGAAAATCAGGGGCGTATTATTCGCGAAGGGCCCCGAAGTAGGCGACATCTATGATCAACTTTGGTACTCAAAACTCAGTGAACAACAAAGCAAGCAAGCATTTGGCCCCCGGCATTGTTTCTGAAAGTTTTCAATTTTCTACAGAATATTTATTCATTTTATGTATTGTTTCTGTTATATAAATCACAAAAACATCATAAAACACAATTTAACAGAAACTAACCTCAAAAAACTAGCTTTGTTGTTCACTGAGTTCGGCAGACATATTGCTATTTTTCGCGTAATTTAGCGCCATCTATTGGTATAGGAATTTCGCCAATAGTAAAGTTTCAAATTTCTTCAGTGGAAAATAACCCCATTGGAAATTATTGAAAATCAACTAAATTAGACATAAATGCACCATCTAACATTTAATTTTTTTTCTGGAAAACTATTCAAGGAAAAATTATGAAATTTTCTGGAGAAAAAGAGAAAAGTCAAAAATTTCAAATTTTTCCCGCGAAAAACAACAAAATTAAAAATAATTTTAAAAATTAAATAGGGGCGCGTTCGATAACATCTTTTTTGGTATAAAAAAAGGATCCGCTCAGGAAAATCAATGAAATTGACAATTGACAGTGTAAACCCAGTCACCTAAAAAACCCTAAACTAACACTTTTGACAGTTGACATTTAAAATGTCAACTGTCAAAAAATACATGCTCTAACAATACTAAAACGACAGAGCTTCTTCAGCTAAAAAAAAAAAAGAAAAAAGGTGACTAGACATAGGGGTTTGCACGCCAACAAACTAGGTTTAGGAAAATAGAGATTATTTTCCAGTAAAAAACTAAATAATTTGATAATGCATAATAGACCTATCTATTTTACCAGACAAAGAGGTAATAATACAAAAACTTCATTGAATAAAAAAAGACACAGAACGCTCATTGCGCAAGACGAGGCAAAACGTACCAAATTATGTTAGACTTACGTATAGCAATCCGTCCTTCTTATTTGCACAGGATAAACAGGAAAGGAGAAAAACCGCGTGTTGTGCAACGTATTTGTCAATGAAAATGTCAAACATTTTTTGAGTGACACTTGTCAATTTGAATATTAACTTTAGATTTATTCTTGTCAGACCACGTGCAATGAACAAGGATAAAGAGATGCCCAGCGTGCAAAACGATCACCTCACACCTGTATTAGCTAGCCAATAAAAAGACGTTGCCTCGTGTTGCGCGCGCATACCAGGTAAAAATAGATAGGTCTATTATAGTATTTTAGGCGTACTATAATGACCTTTGATAATACATAGTACATAACCATTCAATTATAGTACAAATACTATAATTATAGTACGGTTGGCAACACTGAGAGGGACTGCGCGCGCACCTCCTTTCTCGTAAGTTGCCAAACTTACGGTTCATTAGTTTTATTTGAAATAAAATGAGATAGAGTACTTTCGTTAACAAACAGCATGTCTCAAAGAAACTAAACACAGCATACTACGCACTACTGAAATTAAAACAGCTTTTCCGTTATCATCTCTGCTAATAATAACCTACTACTATGCACTTGCATATTCACACATATCTTACAATATAATGACAGGATGGACAGGCATCAAACATAAATAGGATCTTCATAACGCAGAAACGAATAGCTAATTCTTGGACTGAAACCCATGGACACGTGCAAATAACATACTTACAGTAGCTTACTATATAACTTACAGTCTTACAGTAGCCGCTATATATGTATTGAAATGCTCCCTATATGTATACAAAAATCGAGAGAAATTACGAGACGAGACATAAAAACAACCTCGTACTTCCCATTCATAGATCCATCTTCTATGAAAAATCACCACATTATATACGCTATTGCACTAAGATATACAACAAACTACCAACTACTGTAAAGGAGGCAAATACATATAGGCAGTTCAGAAGAAACATCATGGAACATCTTACAGCGACAGCACTACAGAAATTTTATGTGGAATAGATACATTAATTATGCACCATGCCAAAAATTATAATAATTATGCGTCCCCTTAAAGGTTTGCCCTCCCCGCCTCATCGCAAGACTGGTTACGCCACTGTACCTAATACCTAGATGGAGAAACTTCAGTGCGCATAAATTCGCACTTATCAGACTATAACAGACGTTTATTGGTTCTGAGTCTTTCAAAGACATTTCCTAATTTTTTTGGAATGTTCTACTATTGAACTATAGAAGAAATAACGATGTCATCAAGGTTCTTTTGAGTCCTTGAAGACCCGTAAGAGCGGCATTTATGATCCTTTGAAAAGTACTGGGGGCATTCTTTAAACCAAATGGCATACGAACATAATCGTAATGACCTGAAGGGATTGAAAAGGCGGTTTTCGGAATGTTTCCTTCAATTTGGTAGAATCCAGAAGCGAAATCCAAGGTAGTTAAATACTTAGAACGACCAAGTGGATCTGAAATATTTTCGATACTGTAAGGAAAAATTGTGATTATTATCGGCTCTCGGTAAAAAGTTTCGAGAAAAAAAATATTAGAAAAATAGTAAAGAATAGGTAAATCAAAAACTCTAAAAAACCGTTTTGTTTGAAAAATAGCAAATAGAAAAAGGAAAAACTCAAAATTCCATAAAACAGGGAAAAAGCGAGTGATTAAAAATTGTAACCCGAACTACATAGTCCGGTAACCAAAACCAAGTAAGTGAAGGTGTGTTTTAAGATACAGTATAAAATAATAGAGACTTTTTGCACCTGTTATTTTGCCATTTCGCTGTGGTTATCGTTATACTGAGTATGCGCAGTAGCAAAAAAAATGTCTGTTTGTACTTATCAACCACAACGAGCGGCCTTATTTGAGGAGGAATAACCCTATACCTATGGTTATGGTAAAACTGCGTGAATGCCACATTGAAAAAAATTGAATAGATTTTATCCGTTTTAATGAATAATTAATTAAAATCATCTGAAAAAGTAAGTGTGGATTATCATTTTAAGTTTTAATGTTATGAAATTGCTCATGGCTCATTGCTCATGGCTCAAAGGCAAAATAGAATACCAGAAATATGTAAATGTGTGTGGCGTTGCAAAATTTCTGGTTTTGAAGGTTGTGGTAATCGCTATCGTCAATAAAAGTAACCATAACTGATCCAAAAACTGCTGTTATTTTAAGGGGTGCAAAAAGTCTCTATTGATTATTATGGTGCTAAGATCAATTACCAGCGTTTGAGATTATTGACGAGACAGTTGTAGTTGACACAGGCATCTGCCTCATATCCTCATCATTATCCGTCAAGTCGATGCAAATAGGAGCTGGCATTTTCTTCTTGACAATATCTGGACCAGGAGTCATCAACTAAAGTGTTAGAAAAACATTTTATTTATTGCAAATTTTAATTCAAATTCTGACCTGTTGTCGCATTTTTGGCGCTTCTTCTTGGTGTAGCATTGCTTGAAGCCCCACATTACGTGTTATTTTTAGAGGTACCAAAGGTTGCCCGATACCATTGTTTCTTTTTTGAGTTTGCAGTTCAGCCTCAAGTTTTTGGCTGATGATAGTCAAATTTGAACATTGTATCTGCAGTTCTTCTACTTGTTTTTGTAAGAGTTCAAGATTTTGGTCTTTTTTTTGTATACTCTGAAAGAGCTCAGCTCGTGGGCTATTCAGCACTAACGCTTGGCAAACTTTTTGCAAAACGATTTCCTCCAAATCTGATCGTGTAAGTTTCTCTGCCATTTTAGGGAATTGCATAAAGTTTGAAAACGAAGATAAAGTTTTAAGATTTGGAAGAGTTTTGGATGAAGAGGCTTCATCATTATTAGGGGGTAGGTTAATCAATTTTGGCTTTTTAACATTTTCATTATTAACAACTGGAGGGGAGCGTCTGCAATTTCTTCTATTCATACGAATGTAAGGTTGAATCACAAGCGACTCATTTTCTATAGTTTCTTCTTCATCAGACTTTTCTTCACCATCATTTGAAGCTTCATCGATGCTTTTTTCAAATGCAGCATTGTCTTCATCAATTCCACAAACCATTGAAATGTTTAAAAGATCAGCTTCAGTTGTAATTTTGTTGGAAATGTCTTTTTCAATTTCGTCGATATCCATATTCTGCGTATTGAGTCTGAAAATAACCAAAATCAGGAAAAAATACAACATGTAATTATACAACATGCTACTGAAATGAAACTTTTTCAAACACACATCGACTTCATGGCAGTAGAAGAGGCATAGCGTTGCAAGTTTTCGTTACATGCGCATGAAACGCACTTACCCTACCGTGCGTAGAAAAGTTTCACTTCAAAAATTGCGAAACTTTTACTATTACTATTACTGATAACTACCTAGGTATTACCTGTTCAAAGGAAGATTTTCTGATCAAAAGATGTTTCTCTTTCGACAAAAATTACAAAAATTATTTTTACCATTATTACCGTGGTTACGTTTATAAATTATGCCATCCAGACGCCATATTCAAATTTTTTGACAGGTCGTTCAAATGTCAACACAACACTAGCTTTGTTTTGGTTCGAAATTTGGAACGGTTCGAGGATTGCGCAGAAATGCTTCAACTGCTTGCGCATAAAAAATAACGGGGGACTGTTTTAATTTTAATACTAGTTATGAACCGTTTCGATTTCGGAACCAAAACAAGCCGCTTATCACAAAATTCCGCAGTTCCTGCTTCAGAGCAAGAACTGAGAGAACCGTTCTAGAACAATCCCAGAATCGTTCTCATAAGGTTTGTTTTAACACGTCAAAAACCGTTCCATGAACGGTTTCGAAACTACTCTATCTATATACGAATTTCGGATTCTATACGCATACATTTTTGGCTTTGCGCAGAATCGTAACGGTACATTGTACGGTTTCTTGATGTGTTGGGGAACAAGGCTATATAGTCCTAAATAAACTTAAACGCTGTAAACACCAACCAGTTCGATTACGATTCTGAAAAAACGAAAATGCGTTTTATAGCATGCGCATGTGCAGAATAAAGTTCCGAACTATGTAGTTCTGAGTGAAACCAAGGCGGCGTTCCGTATCTTAACATTCTTAACCAAAGTTACCGATCGGTAAGAAGCGGTTCGTCTATGGTAACAATTTGGTTCCTGAAAATGCGGTTTATGTGTGGAACGCTTCGGTTCAGTTTTGGCTTGCTAAATGAAGAATTCTCCTCTTAAAAATATATTTGTAATAAGCAAATGTCAGGCATGAATGTAATATTCACCTCTTGATGCATTTCCACCGCAAATACACGTCACCTAACCTAACAAACAAATGTCAGCAGACCGAGAAAACCATAGGCGTTTTCTCGCGTCTCAAATGTTTCAAAACATTTTTCAAAACTGGTTTATCATTGGGTTTAAGTAATGTCACCATGACGTCATAATTTCTCGGCGCGAGAAAATGGTTTGAAAACGTAGATTGGATTATATTTCGAAATCGCGAGAATGTAGTTTTTCGAAACAGTTTTGACCCAGTTTCAAAAAAAGTGGACGCGAGAAAACGCCTCAAGCTTTTTGATTGGTAGATTCGGTTGACAGTTGAGACCAAATATTTCAGAAACGCGTTTCATAATCTAACCAGATTTCAGCCCAGGGACTCCGTGTCAGGTAGAATTCTACATATCGACAGGATTCTATAGACTCGGCACACTGTGCGACATGCGATATGTTTCGATATGTCGAATTCTACATGGCACGGATTCCCACCACAGGACTGGTTAGGTTACAGAACGAGAACCGGAAAAACCAAGAATTAGGCAATCTACTGACCTGTCAAAAACGAAATTCAATATGGAAGTTCGGGTCAAGCACTGTGTTGTTTATTGTATGTCATTGACTCTGTCACATTCTGGACAAACGTCAAGATTTGAATTATCGGATTTTGTGGTTTTTTGTGTGTTTAGGTATTGTGTTAGTTGAAATGCCAGCGATTTGCATCGTAATTGGGTGTGGAAGTCGAGGTAACAGGGATAATGTGAAATTTTATTCAGTTCCTGCTATTTTAAATCATCGGCCTTTGATCTACAAAAATGAATTATCAAAACAATGCAGGGCTTTATGGATTGCTGCAATTAAAAGATAGGATCTAACAACCTTAATATATTCACTCTCCATCTCAGAATTTATTATTAAATTGAAAAATACGTAGAAACACTATAAACACTATAAAATTCACTTTGAAAACAAGGGCCAGAACACTAAAAAATACGTAGAGATACTAAAAACTATAAAATTCACTATGAAAACAACAATATGACCAAAACCAATGAAAAATACGTAGAAACACATAAAAATTCACTTCGAAAGCAGCAAGGGCCAGAACTCAATTGCTCTCCTTATGAACGTCACCGGCTTGTCACCGCAATATTTGACCTGAACGGCCATTAAAAAATCACGTGACTGAGATTGCCTAATCTTGGTTAACTTACGGAATGCCGCCCAAATCAAAGCTAATGGCTACGTTCACGATCAGAACCAAAACTGCAACCTGTTTTGGTTTACAGTTTACAAATACCAACAGAATACGTTGGGTAAACTCTTGGTTCTGCTGAACCTTTTGTGCTGAACCTTTTTGAGTGCTGAACGATTCAACTTTCCAATGATAGAATGTCACCCTCTAAATGTCATGTTACCACACAAAACACAAAAACCGAATTTTCGCGACAAACTATCTACTTCCATGATTTCATGAACACTACAGTGAATGAACACAAATGCTTTCCGAGAAACTGACGTCATATTGAACGTAGTTCGCCTGGTAGCCTGGATGCAGCTTTTAGCCAGCGTTCAAACACATGACGTTACAAGCAAAACATGTTTGGTTTCAACACAAATTCAACGTAGCGTTCAGCGTTCAGCAGAACAATCGTGAAGCGTTTACTAACGTTTGTATCTGGTGAACGCGGCCAATGTCAGATGAATGTCAAACTGCCATGGCGGGAGACCGTTACAGAATCCCGTCACTCCCAACAATGAACTATAACCAAAAACCTAGAATGCTAACACATAAGGACGATACGTGCGTTTTTATTCTCACCGATGTGCTCATCGATTAAGCGAAAATGTCAATTGGCTGTTTTTATTCTCATCAGTAAAACATCGATGGATTTCATCGGTCTGTTTTTATTCTCATCCTACACTCATCGGTGAAAGTACGATTAGCCATCGAATTCATCGAGGTTCATTTAGGATGAACTGATGAATTATAACGTAAAATGTAACCTCAAAATTATGTTGACGGTTGTTGATGGCCGACTGGCATCGTTTTGTTTTGCATTTATATTTATTATGTGAAGATTTGCGAAGACCTTAACAAAAAAAAAAGGAGAAAGGGCATGTTCAAGTGATCTGAAGGGTGTGAAAACCGAGACCATACCAAACCTAAGAGTTCTGACTGAGCATAAGAGCGGCAAATTACCTAACTTTGTGACAAGTGAGAAATATATCTGAAATATCAAATCAAACTAATTTGTGAGGTCTTAAAGCTCAGCTAACTGTCTCAGAGATAATTTTATTTCTAATATCTCACCTCCACTACAGTCCTAGTAAGTCTAAAATGAGACTTGACATCTAAATCACTATGCAAAGAACTACAGAAGAAATATAATTTTGTATTTTTCCATGTTTTCTACAATTCAAGTAAAATTATTTCATCTGGAGAACTTCTAGACTCATCACTTGATGATGATGAAGAGCTCACAATTATTCTCAACTAACACTAGACTTCCAATCATTGTATGGCTACGGTTTTTTAAACAAATAAAAAAATAATAAGTTTGCCACATCAAACAAACAACACAAATCAATGCCAAAAGTATCAATTCAAGTGTCAAAATCCATCGAAGTGTTTTTTAGTTTATTCATTTCATCAACAAAATTGCGATGAATTTTGATGACGTACTGCTCATCGGCGCTCATCGGTGATAGAATTCATCAGGAAAACTCGATGAGAATAAAAACGCACGTGAACTTGAAGCCTAGTAGATGCCGGAAGCCACTTTACCAAAAACTTTGACAAGTGATTTTTGACACTGTTTGACACATACGCGCACACTTCCGGTGCATACCGGGAAAATTAAAATTTGAATTTTAAATTTACTGTTGGAATATTGTTTCCAACATGTATAACATTCGTGGTACAACTAAGTTTTTGTTCTGGAGTCTTAAAAATGTGTTTAAAATCAATCACTAATTGTTGAAGGCTTTGTTCGCCTTTTGTCTGTGGATTTTCTAGCTGTAATTTTTCTAAAATCTCATTAACGCCTTTTCTGTCAATGATTCTAATTGGCAGAGTTTTCGATTCTTTATTCCTTTCTTCTACTTCAGCTTCGCATGCTTTAGCAATTATTGTCCTACTTCCTAGGATTAATTGCTCCTCAGTTATGTTCATTAATCTAACAGGAACTGTATTATTTCGTTTGCATAACATGTGTGCCACCAGCAATCAAGACGGTACCTTAACTTGCTTTGCTCCGCGTAATGTTGCTTGACACACTACTTCACTCATCGGCGGAATCGTTAATTCTTCTCTCAATGCTACTAGATAGTTTTTCTCTTTTCTTACAGCTTCCCTTTCAACGACTTCCTTATCTTTGATTAAATCCACATAATTATTGTCTGGTTTACCAAAAACTTCATTTTTCTTGAAAACTTCTATATTCTTAACTGAACTTCCTTTTAGACTTTCTTTACTTTTCTCATTTTTCTGTATTAAGGTGAGGGGCTTTTGGGAACCGGCCGGCTTCCGTGATGATGTTAGAGCTCTGTCCTCTGATTTTCCAAGTTGTTGGTTGAGAGTAGTTGTTGAGCGAATACCAGTCGCTGCTAAACTACGACCTTCCGTTACTGGTAGGTATTAACGAAAGATCTTGAATCATGGAATCTGATATACTCGTCATTGTTCCTTTCCTTTCTCTCTCTGCGTCTAAATGTTCTAGTCTCTTTTCCATTTTTAGACCATTTTCCTTCCCTTCGGATTTAACCTTGCACTCGCTGCATTTATTGCAATTCTTGTTAGCTGTATCTTTAATGTAACACATTATTTCCTTCAAGTCAGTTTCGATTTCATCAGCCTCTATTTTCTTCCATTTCTCACACATA